TATCACCCAAACCAAGCTCCAATAGTTTCATCACCACTATCTCTCCTTCTTTCTCTCTTACTCTCTCTCTCACATTTCTTTCTTGTTTCTTACTCTTATTTCAAATATGAAAGGTCCTATTTATACAAGTATAAGTCAGCAAGCACAAAGATCTTATTGGATAATTGTTTGGCGGTTAAAGGAGATATGCATGGAAAACCTTATATAATATAAACTAATATTAATCATATCACAAAAGTAGATTAAGTAACTAGAAATTTGACACATCAACCTTAAGAGATAAATAATATATGCATGTGCTCCAGCTCAAGGTAAATATTGACATGAATTTGACACCATCTCCCATGTAAAGCCACCTATTGCCAAACAAAAGATAATTCTAACACCTAACTCCAACTCATATTAATTTTTACATGTAGTTGAATGTTTCCATTTCACTATACAGATTGATGCCACGTTTTCTAGTTTAAAATAATTATAATTATAAGCTAGGAAGATATATATATATATATAATACACACACACACATATATATAATATAATAAGATATTATTACACAAAATGGGTATGTGAATTGATCCATTGAGATTTCAACAATGGGCCTTCTTGATGATTTCAGTCTACAAAAATTAAGCCTACAGTGAGCTTTCTTATATATATACATATATATATATATATTTAACCAAGATAATTATATATTAAAAATACAGGGTTTCACATTTTCTTTTTCATGAATTACCTATGGTATTTAGGCTAACTCGTATATTCCTACGTGCAATTCGCCTATGGTATTTAGGTCAAATATCAACACATAGAAACTCATTAAGATTAGTGAAAACCTTGAATAAGCATGTAAACCCTAGGATTATGGTATTTACCTTAGACGAATTACAAATCCTAATCACAAGAAGCAAGCCTCAAATTAAGTATGGTATTTACTCTAATTTGCATCCGATTAACTCAATTAAAAGTCTAGATGGTGATCAAGCATCAAGATAATCAACCAAGTTATTAAGCACAATGATTAAGAATCCAACATCAAACGACAATCAATATATAGGTAAAATAAGAAAACTAGATTATCATACTGGGGCCACATCATGCCCTAGCAAAATAAAATTAGTTACGCATAATCATAGAATTCGACATAAGCAAAAAACAAGGAAGAAACAATCAAACTTAGCCAATTGCGGTACTCTTCCGGTGTGTCCAATTTCTCCAAGTCTTTGCATGCCCTCCCTCAAAGGAGTTGTTTCTCATGCTTAAATAAAACACCACATCTCTATTTCTACCCTAGCTAGACTTTTACAGCAGCTCAAGAATAAAGAAAAACCTAATTAAAACATAAATCCAAAATGGGTAAGTAATTGACTCATCTTCCTATTTTGACTGGGATAACACTTTAGTTACTTTGCACGCACGTTTGGGGTTGTTCCTCCTCCAAGAAAATTTGGCAAAAATATGTAATTGTAGATTTTTGTCTTATCTTTCCAGCCATATATCACGCGTCTTGAGGAAAAATCAGGAAAGTCTTCAAATAGTAATTCTTCCACAGCAGCACAGTTTTGACGGGATTGCACCTTATGCTGATCCGAAAACTGCTCTCATTGGCTTATCCGAAAATTCTAGAAAAATCCCACAATCATCTTCAAGGTCTTAGCTTTCATCTCCAACTGGTCTTATACTAAAACTCCACCGAAAAGTCGTATTTTCGTTAAAAACAAATTACTTGCTCTGGAAAGTTGAAAATTGAGAAAATAAAGTAATAAGTCCTTTTTAAATCAAATTCTCCTACAAAAACTAAGTATAAAGAGTGCATAAATGTGTAAATTTATGGACTTATCAACAAAACTAAACCAACTTCCACGGTTGGGATGCTATTTCCTCGTTATTTTGTTCTCGGATGTAATGACTATGCATTTCTTCTTCCTGGTAAGGTTACTATGTTCTTGAGATGAAATTATGTTTTGGACTATGCCATTGTATTTTTCTATTGTAACGATAGGATAATTACCTTACGAAGTAATGTTTTAAATTATTCCTTGGTTAGAAATGTCTGATCCATGCACTTGTATTATGCTGCATCAGATCAATGCTTTCTTCGAAAACCGTACTGACCATTTTGATTTATATCAGGTCCGAAATACAGGAAGTTGGATGGAAATTGGTAACAGCATCAGCCATTTTGGAATCGTGAGTGCTCAAGTAGTCTTTGTGCTGTTGCCTTTTGCCGTCACAAATATATACACAAAAGATATGAACATTGGTTCAGCGGACCAGTCCTCCCGGAAAGCCATGTAAGCCATGCTAAATTGGGATATTGGGCATCGAAATAAATCACCAGTTTTCAGGAAAGGTGAGCTTTAATATTCTTAAGGCGCCTCTCACGGTCCTAATAGCAGCTTTCCACTCTACAACTGCTGATTGCTTGAAGATGAGAGATTCAGAGCAATGGGATTTTCCAGGTGCCCCATTCAATTGAAATTTTTGGCACGCTTCTCACATGTATTGATTAGTTGATACAGTTTAACCAGTTAAACCGATTTACAGATCATTAATCAATTTGTAAATAAATTTATTTATGTTTATGGTTAGCAAGATCTTGATTAAGAACAGAAAACAAGTTGTGCTCCCATTTCAGGCCTATTTACATATTTCACTGTCCAATTTCAGCTCATCTGCAATTTTGCAGGGCTTGTTTGCCCTGCCCATATATTCACATGGGCTTCGTGGCAAAGTGGCCAAAACAATTAGCAGCAAGCAAGCAACTCGTTTGAAAATAAAATAGAACAAATATTTTGGACAACAATAAGACAGAGAAAAGAAGAGAAAAGGCGAGCATATTATAAGGCTTAATTGATGATTTGTCCCCTAAGAGCATCTCCAACCGATGTGTCAAACGTACCACATAGACATTTAACAACTAAAAATAGCATCTCCAACCGATGTGTTAAAGCTGATGTGGAATGAAGGCTGGAGGTTGAGATGTTATTTTTGACATCCTAAAAGCAAGATGTCAAATGAATATTTTATTATTTTTTCTTTTCTTTTCATTTTAATTAAAAATGAATCAACACTAAAATGTAATAAAATAATAATTTAATTTGACATATTGGGTGGAGTGTAAAGCTGTGTAAGATGTCAAATTGCCACATCAGCCATCAAATTTAAATTTGATGCTTAGTATTTGACATCTCCCTTGGAGATGCTCTAAGAGCATCTTCAACCGATGTGTCAAACGTGCCACATAGACATTTAACGGCTAGAAATAACATCTCACATCACTCCAACCAATGTGTCAAAGCTGATGTGGAATGAAGGTTGGAGGTTGAGATGTTATTTTTGACATCCCAAAAGCAATATGTCAAATGAATATTTTATTATTTTTAAAGATAGTTGGAGTGATGTGAGATGTTATTTTTAGCCGTTAAATGTATATATGGCACTTTTGACACATCGGTTGAAGATGCTCTAAACTTATACTTAGCTTTCGATTTACTCCATATACATTTTTTTGGAAAATAAAGGATATGAACTTCTATTTTTCGCCAATTTCCCCCTTGCCATCTAAATCTTCAACATTTCATCCAATTTGCTGTTAAATATGAGAGCAAATTGGTCATTTCATTTTAAAATAATTTAAAATTTGAAATAATAATTATAACAATAAAGTAAAATCTTACCCAAATCCTAGCCTCCCATGTCCTCACAAATCACACCACCACCCATTCTATCTCCCTTGACTTCTCTCGCTGCCCTCATTGCACCCAAAGATCGAACATATCCCAACAACACCAACACACAACCACCACCACCAGAACGAACCCCGCCGACCCCCCAAAAAAAAAAAAACAAAAAAAAAAAAAAAAAAAAAAAAAAAAAAAAAAAAAAAAAAACCCTACACACAAAAAAAACCAAAATCTATTCGCAAACAAGCAAAAGCGCACCACACTAGGGGGGGGGGGGGTGGGGTGGGGTTGTGTGGTGAGAGTGGGTTGTGGGTGTTTTGTGGGCTGGGGGGCTGGGGTGTTGGGGGGAGAGAGAGAGTGTGATGTTTGTGGGGTGGTGGCTGGGGGAGGGTGGGCTGCTGAGAAGGGAGGCCGCAATGGGTAAAGGGGTGGTCGTGGGTCTTGGGGTGCGTTGCAAAAGGGGAGGCAACGACGATGGGGAGGGGGGATAGGTTGCCAATGGGTCTTGGGCTGAGGTTGGGGGATTAAAAAAAAGGGAGTTTCACTAAAACATCCAAAATGGGGGCTGAAATTATAAAAAAAACCCAATACCCAAAACACTTTATAAACACACCTAAAATCCATCATTACACACACTCAAAACCCATTTATAAACACACCCAAAAAATATACAATTGTTGATTTTGGGTGTGTTTCTATGTTTAAATAATGCTTGGTTTTTTTATAAGTACATGTCTAGAATTGTGTTTATTTATAAATTTGTATTAAAAAAAAGAGAGCGGAGGGGGTATGTGGGTGGAGATAGGTTTCTTTTTATGTTTTTGTTTTGTTCTCTTTTTCTTTTATTTTTTATTAATAAAATACATTATTTTTAATGATTTAACGACAATAAAATTGATGAAAGGTAGATGATTTAGACAACATGAGAAAATTGGAGAAGAAAATAAGTTCATATCCTTAATTTTTTATTTTTAAAAAAAATATAAGGTAAATTGAAAGTTAGATACAAGTTGAAGTGGCAAATAAAAAGTTAAGACCATATTATAATGATAGTTGGTGAATTCTAAAGAAAAAGTATGGCCATTTGCTTAAGCTCCTCGGAGAAGCTTTCAAGAATAAACTCGACGTTGACGAAGACGTAGACTTTGCTTTATTTTGTAGACTTGGTGGAAGTTTCGTCGCCGTGGGGCCATTTGATTGGAGGAGGGATAGCAATTCATTTCCCTGTATATAATAAAGACATCAACCATCCTGGTTTTCATTCTCCTCTACTGTGTTTGTTAACAGATCTGAAAAAGCTATAAGAAGAAGATGAGCAATCTGTAAGTAAAGTTCAATGTTCTTTTTCTTTCTTTCTCAATGATTTTTTTTCTTTTCTTTTTATAGTAAAAATTTAACAAAGCTAGTTGCTAAATTAACACCACATCTTACTCCCTGTTTTTTGGTTTGATTTTTTGATGACAGATTTAGCAGCGGCCTAGAATTGGCAAATGTGCTGTTGACCTCTGAACCCCTACACCAGTCGTGGGATGCAATTCAGAATGATAAGCAGAAGGTCAATCCAAATGCACAACCAACCTTACACATTAATACAACCCAACAAGCAAATCTTACCATCATAACTTTTCTTACTTCACCCATGTCTTTGAGAGGACAAGAAGGCTTGATTTTGTCATCAACTTTTAAAGAAAAAGATCTCCCTGACTTTGACTTTTTGTGCGAAAGCAACCCAAGTTTCTCCATCAATGAAGCTGCAATCAAGCTCTTTGCCTCTCGTTTTGACGAGCTCTGTCTTCTGAAAACTGAGGTTCGTACCTTCTCTCTCTTTCCTTTTGTTTTTTGTCTTTCCTTAAACTCATCATTTCTACTTTTGACAACTTGTGAATTTGGAGAAACCTTAGAGAAAGTCTTTAGTAATCTGATATATGTAACTTTTGATAATGTTTGTGGCACAGATTAGCAGATCAAATTCATTAGTAATTATCACTGGACACTCTATGGGAGGCTGTGTGGCTACGCTCTTCACCTTATGGCTGCTAGAAAGCCTCAACTTATTAAAAGCCAACCGCCCCCTTTGCATTACTTTCGGTTCACCCCTTATTGGTGACGAAAACCTCCGAAAATGTGTTTCACAATTCCCAGCATGGACTTCTTGCTTCTTGCATGTAGCCTCTATCCAAGATCCTGTACCTAAACTCTTCCTATCCCCAAATCCAACTGCTCTTGGAACCGGTACTAAAGCTGGTTCTTATAAGCCTTTTGGAACATTCCTGTTGTGCTCTGATTCTGGTTGTGCTTGCTTTGAGGACCCAGATTTGATTTTGGTGTTGGTGGCAGCCAACTCTCAGGGTGATCAGACCCAATATCCTAATGTGGGGATTCAGTTTTTTGATTATGGACAGCTCTTGGAACGTCTCAAGCACAAGGCATTTTGTAAAGATGTCTTTGAGTTGGCTGAAAGCGATAGAGTTCCACTTAAAGCTAGCATTATCACACAACTGACAGCAATATTTGGAGTTCCCCAATCACAGGTAGCAAAGTTTCAATGCAAATATGTGATTTGATAATGTTTTATGTTTTCATCCTATAAGCCTACAATACATACATTATTTGCAAAAAAATGTTAGCAATATTCCCCGTTGTTAAATTTTACTTCTACTAATTCCTTCTCCGCTCCTTTGTAAAAGGCCTTGCAACAGCAACAACCCAACATAAATATTCTGAAAAAGATGATGGAAACACATGAATATAAATTAGCAATACAGAAGACGAAGATTTCCAATGGCGCCAAGAAATTGAATGATATGAAAGTGAACATGGTCTACCTTGAGTGGTACAAGAAGGACTCAAAAGGTAGGGAAATTGGATACTATGACATGTACAAAAACAAGAGGAACAGGAGTGACTTCAACGTCCAAGAGTTTAAGAAGAAGCTGTCGAATTACTGGCAGGACGCGGTTGAAGAAGTAGAGAATAAGCCCCAGAAAGAAGGAGCTGCCTTCCGAACTCGTTGGCTTTTGGGAGGTACAACCTACAGAAGGATGATGGAACCACTTCACATTGCAGAGTACTACAAGGACAATGATGGGAAAAACTACATAGAGAAAAGGCCTAGGCATTTCATTCTGTTGGAGAAATGGCTCAAGGAAGAGGAGGAAGGGAAGGTAGCAGAGAGAATTAGAAGAGGGGAGACAGTCGAAGACGGTCCAAGCAAGTCAAAAGCACAGAACGTGGCTTCTAGTCTGACTGATGATTCTTGTTTTTGGGCACATGTTGAGGAGGCTCTTATCTTATGCAATCAGCTGGAGAAGGGACAACCGAGTTTTCAAGAAAAGGAACAATGCAAGCAAAAGTTGAGAGAATTTGAGGAGTATGTGTTGGATGCCCTCAAGAATTTTGCAGTAACGCCTGATATTTTCTTGAAGTATAGCAGCTTTATGGCATGGTGGAAGCAGTATAATAAAATTGTGGGAAGCTCAACCCTGCTGGCTCGTATCATGATGGATGGCACGTACCGCGATTATGAGAAAGGGGTGAAGGTGGTTTTCTGATCTCTATAATCCAATGAATAAGTTTTATATGCCAACCGGATGGAGCATGTTGAAATTTGTGTGTCTTGTTGGTGTGCTTCCATTTGTATTTTCTTTTTCCTTTCCTAGTAGGCTTTGGGTTTTGCTGCCAATCTTGGAACTAGCACAACTTTGTGGCGTGTTTTAAGTTGTATTAATCTTGCAGATGAATTTACAAAAGAAAAGCTTGTAACTAGTAAAGAAGTTGTAGCTGTAAGTTGTGTTGGTTTTCTGCTCAAAGGCAAAGGCCATTATTATGTCACACTGTCTTCTTCACACCCACACGCATCATGATTTTACTCATTGATAATATTGTGGAGTTTATTTATTTGCATGTATTTGAAGATTATTATAATTTTCTCTTGACAAAGTGATAATTAAAATGACTCAAATGTACGGGAGGAGGATCGATCTCGAGTGTACAAGAGTAGACACACTCTCTTAGTCAACTCACCTAACTCTTAACTCATGTCTATTTGAAGATTATTAGACGGAATGGACTGAGTATTGACCATGTCAAGTCCAGCGCTAATGATACACCGCTGGATGAATCGATTCATAAATACAAATAGATCACTGCTATTTAAGATTTAACAAACAGAAAAAAAGAGCATGGCCAATGGGCCCATCCCATTTCAAGAAATGGCGCTGAGGCTGACTTAGAAGTTTCCTCTTGCTGCTTACTGCTTAGATTAGTAATCAAAGTTTTGATTGTATCTTCCTTTTCTTTCATTCAGAAATATTGACATGTTGTATACCATACCACCATATCACCACATGAATCTTTCTTTTATGTGGTTTTAATAGGAATAGGATGCTTCTAGTTGGATCATGGTTCAACATCAATGGAAAGGGAACTTCACTCAGTTTTGTTCATAACGGACTAAGACCAACTGCTATGCATTGGTTTTGCATTTTACAGCTTTGATTTATAAGGACGTTTGGTTTGAGGAAATCATATATTACAAGGCTTGCAGTTGGGTATCAAATTACATGCTCGGCTCGGTTTTGATGGCAGGCTAGAATAGATACTACGCTTAATTATGCTATGCATAGTTGATCAAACTGCAGGCAAGTTGGGGAGGGGAGAGGACTTGAAATCAGTCATTCCTTGGCTTGTCTTGAGAAATCCATATTTCACTTTCCTCCATGCCCTTGTCACAAGCTGCCCCGGGAGGCCTTGTGCCCGGCTTTTTGTCGCCGGTGGTGGCCAGCTGCGGGCACAAAATTGTTTTGGGTGTCTTGACACTTTATTTGAAATTGCAACTCAAGCCTTGTGTGTAGAAGGGTGAATTGAAAGATGAATGGCTTTGTAAAGTTAGTGAGCCACAGCTCGGAGATCATACCAGTCATATAAATTTCTACCGCTCTCTCCGGGGCTCAGCCTCCATAGAAGGACATGTATATATATTAAAATATGTATTGAAACGTATAGCCGAGCGGCTATACTTTAAATATATTTGAGTATTTAAATAGTACAGCCGCTCGGCTATACTATATATTTTAATATTTGTAGAGTATAATATTTAAATAGTTTAGCCGCTCGTCGATACGCTTTAAATATATTTTAATATTTTAAGGGTATAGCTGCGCGGCTAAACTCGTTAAATATATTCGAATAAAAATTTACAAATTTATAAATAAACCCAATCCTAGACATGTATTTATAAAAAAAACCCAAACACTATTTAAACATAGAAACAGACCCAAAATTAACCCCAAAGTCAACTTTTTGGGTGTGTTTATAAATGGGTTTTGAATGTGTGTAATGATGGATTTTGAGTGTGTTTATATGTTTAAATAGTGCTTTGGTTTTTTTATAATTTCAACCCTCATTTTGGGTGTTGTAGTAAAACTCCCATAAAAATTAGCGCTCAAGAAAACCCAAAAATTAAAAATTAAGTAAGAAGTGGAAAGCCATGCTTTCCCTTGATTTGGGTTTTGCTTCGATTCCTACCCTCTGGATTTGGGCAGGCTGTCCTTATGATAGAAGATCTAGTGGAGGATATTGCATATTTCTCGGCTCTAATCTCATAAGCTGGAGTGCTAAGAGGCTGCAATCAGTAGCTAGATCATCTACTGAAGCTGCTGAGTACAGATCTTTTATCCTTGACTGCCTCTGAAATTACTTGGATTGGAAAGTTATTTACCGATACTGGTCTAAAGCTTTCTTCTATTCCAGTTTTATGGTGTGACAACATCTCAGCTATAGCCTTATCAAATAATCCTGTTTTTCACTCAAGAACTAAACACTTCGAGTTGGATTTTCACTGCATCAGAGAACAAGTCCTCAATCACAAGTTAGAGGTCAGACATGTTTGCAGTCAAGATCAGCTTGCTGATATTCATACCAAGTATTTAGCTAAGCAAAGGTTTCTCTTCCTCAGATCCAAGCTGTCTCTTCAGTCCCGTCCTTTCAGCTTGAGGGGGTGTAAAGAGAACCTCTCAACAAGTCAACAACAAGTCACGACTAGTCAAAGTCTGTTAACGGAGGTCCTGACGGCAACACGGACGGAAGTATTAAATTGGTAATAAAAGTAAACGTTGAGAATGAAAGTAAGAGAGAAAAAACTTTGGGGATGAAAGTCAAAATTTTGGGAAACTTGCGGGTAGTTGTCATGGATACCAAAGATTAGGAAAATAGGCTAAACATATATGTTTTAATATTATGTATGGGAACAAACCATCTTAGATGGGACCACCATGCACATGCATGATGCATATCTCTTAATCAAACAGCTGCCAATTAATCTCTATAATTTGACCAACCTTTTTTCTGTTTTGATTCGAACATTTTTCCCTCTTTCGATCCTCGGTTGTACTCAGCTGTACTCAGCCAGCCTTACTGACTTGTGGGGTTGCCCTTTTGAGTTTTCTGCTCAAAGGCAAAGGCCGTTATTATGTCACACTGTCTGTCTTCTTCACACCCACTTACTTTATGGTTTTAAACTTTTCAATACAAAATTTATACTCTATGATTTTACTGCCTGATAAGACTGTGGAGTTTATTTATTTGCATGTATTTGAAAATTATTAGATTTTTCTCATGACACACTCTTTCCGTCAACTGGACTAAACTCATGTCTACTTGAAGATTATTAGATGCAATGGAACCATGTCAAGTCCAGCGCTGATGATACGCCCCTGAATGCATCGATTCATAAATATTAAATACAATTATACAACTAGATCACCGCTATTTAAGATTCAACGAACAGGAAGAACAAAAAAGGGCATGGGCAATGGGGCCCATCCCAGTTCAACAGCCATCTAACTTTGCATGATCCATCATGTGACGGAAGAAACGCGCGCCAAATACACACACCGTAGCACCTCTCCCTCTCTCCCCCAGTTGCCACCTAATTAACTCAGCTCGATTTAATGATAAATTTAATACATCTCAAAAAGTGAAAAACCAAAAAAACTAATTGGCTTTGTTTTCTTTATTTTTCTATATAATTGAGAATTATTCATAGAAAATGGGATGGCCGTCTACTCTATACTGTGCGTACTGTGCGTACTGTGCATGCAAAGATAAGATAACCATAACCCTACGGTGATCTAAAATGGCTCACACTCCAATACCATCCCTCCCTCCACATCCCAACAGCACTAATCTAACCACTCCCAAATCAGCAAGGGCATCTCCGTCATTTCACAAGCATCGATCCGAAGTCCAGTCCAGCCCATCCCCAGTTCAAGTGGGCCATACATCGCTCTCCTCTCTTCCCGTGACAGACGGTAGATAGAATGCCGCGTGTCCCCCCAGCCCCTCCCTCTCTACCGTAAAACCCTCTCATCTATCATGCCCTCTTTCGCTCTCTCACTCTCTCTTCCTCTGTCTGTCTTCTGTCTGTCTTCCTTCTTCAAGCTCATTTTGTTTCTCTGAGCTGAAGCAGTTGCAGAAGCAGCAGCAGCCGCAAAGCACGCAAACGGCACCATGGTAGCGTTCCTCATTGTCTTCCTCACATCTCTGCTAACTCTCACCACTCTCCCCGCCGCAGAGTCGAGACTGTACAGCAACTACTACCAAAAATCGTGCCCGAGATTCAACCAAATAGTCCAAGACACCGTCACCAACAAGCAGATCACCAGCCCCACTACCGCCGCAGCCACCCTCCGCCTCTTCTTCCACGACTGCCTCCACAACGGCTGCGACGCCTCCATCCTCGTCTCCTCCACCCCCTTCAACAAGGCCGAGCGCGACGCCGACATCAATCTCTCCCTCCCCGGCGACGCCTTCGATGTCGTCGTTCGCGCCAAGACTGCCCTCGAGCTAGCCTGCCCCAACACCGTCTCCTGCGCCGACATCCTCGCCGTCGCCACCCGTGACCTCGTCACCATGATGGGCGGGCCCTACTACAACGTCCCACTCGGCCGTCGCGACGGCCGCGTCTCCAAGGCCTCCGCCGTCGAGGGCACCCTCCCGAGGCCAGCCATGCCGGTGTCTCAGCTCATCCAGGTGTTCGGGTCCAGGGGCTTTTCCGTCCAGGAAATGGTTGCCCTCAGTGGGGCCCACACCATCGGGTTCGCCCACTGCAGCGAGTTCAGCTCCGCGATCTACAACTACAGCAAGTCGGAACAGTACGACCCGCAGTACAACCCGAGATTCGCCGCCGGGTTGCAGCAGGCCTGCGCCGATTACCACAAGAACCCGACGATGTCGGTGTTCAACGACGTAATGACCCCCAACAAATTCGACAATGTCTACTTCCAGAACTTGCCCAAGGGTTTGGGGCTTTTGAAGTCGGATCACGCCTTGTTCAATGACCCGAGAACCCGGCCCTTCGTGGAGCTCTACGCCAAGGACCAGAACACCTTCTTTCAGGCGTTTGCGAGGGCGATGGAGAAGCTCGGCGTGCACGGGATCCAGACCGGGAGGCGAGGAGAGATTAGGCACAGATGCGATGAGTTCAATTAACTAGTTAATATTCGATTTATTCAAAATAATTATAATATAAAAAAATGACTTTTGTTTTAATTTTCATTGTTGTTTTAAGTGCATTTGCATAAGCATAAGCATTCGTGGTGAGATTTGTGAAAAGACCTGCTGATACTATGTATACATACATGTTTAATTTTTGTATTAAGAGGATATTTATTGAGCTTAAATTAATATATTTTTCTTTTTCTTCTTCTCCGAATCTTGTGCGTTCAAATTTTGTTGCATTGTTGTTGGTTTTGATCTTCATGGCTCCGCGTATTGTATACTCTGTGTGTTTGTTTGTTTGGGTGTCTTGGTGTTGGAAATTGCGTGGTTTAATTAGGGAAACTACTGGGGAAGTTCATCATGGGTTGTTTATTGTAGATTTGTCTTGGGAGAGCGTGTTTGTGGAAACACGATGGCAGCGAATGGCATTGGTTGAATATAATTAAAGATTATAATAATAGTATTAATGAGCAAATTAAGGCAGAGCTTTTTTAATTTTGGATGGATCATTTATGAATCAAGGCCTGCTCAAGTTTTGAGTTAAATTTTGTCTCTTGTTTATGTCTCTACTCGACAACAAGAAGAAATTGGGGTTTGAGAAACTTGCGTTATTATTATTGAATGTGGTAAGAAAACCGCTTCTCATGTCGAGAGGCGGAGTGAGGCAATCAAACTAAAAAAATCTGACAGGCAGTCATGTTGTCCTTTGACTAATAATGTAATGGCACATGAATTTTATTGATATCCCGACTAATAATGTAATGACAGGAGAGAGGGTTTCATGCAACGGGATAGTATTTTTTGATATCCCGATTAATAATGTAACGACACATGAATTTTATTCATTTTATTTTCCTACTCTTATTTTGTATGGTATTAGAAATAAACTTATGAATTATAGTCCATTTAGCTTCTTTGCTGAAATTCAGCTAAAGTACGAAGACTTTTGCTTGTACATTGCTTTTCCAATACTCTTTTCAAATATTTTTAAAGATTGCATTTAAATCAGTCTTTCCAAATATTCTCACCCCTCCTGTTCTTCCTTCTGTTTGTTTCACTGGATGTTGACACTCAAAATTCAACGGATTGAGCTGGCTCCAAGCTGCATCCAAAAACCAAAAGGTTGAAGGTTGGGCCAGCAGGCCCAGGAATAGCCTTAAGTTCTTATGGTGGGTGGGTTTTGTCTCTTGGGCTTATAAGCCTAGACTCTCTAGCCCTGCAATATATATTCTAAAATTCTATAGTGAGGGCTCTAAATATGGGGTCTTGGGTGAGACCCTATATCTTAATTGTTAGATTAAATTAGTTAGCCGTTGGATCGAATTCCTGGTAGCAGAAAGATTTTTTATTTTTTATTTTTTATAGGTCGGAATCAAGTTTCACTAATAGAAAGGCACTTCCAATTACATGATAGTGGAACTCATAAAAATGAGTCCAAACAAATACAACAGTAAAAGCCCACTAGAAATAAAACTCAAATAGCCATAAAGTACAACTAGCATAAAGCTAGAGCCCAAAACTGACATAAAGTCGGAGTCTAATACTGATATATAAAGCCAGAGCCAACCAAAAGCAGAAACACCACCAAATGCCAAAGTACCGTTGTCGCTACCTTCATGAAGATCGAGACATCACCACCAGGACTAATGATGAGTGAAGGAACTACAAACACACCAAAACACACAAAACACATACAAAAACTACAAATATGAAAATCCTTATTCGACTATCAAAGACTCATTAACTCATTCAAAAACGAAACCACCAAAACACCAAGAAGGAAACAGCAACCAATCCAAGAACAAACCCGAGAAAACACTTCCCAAAGCAAAAGAAAAAACAACATCCTAAGCAAGGAAGGAGGTGGTAACAACCCAAGAATGGAAGGATGTGGTGTAAGCACCTGAGTAAGAGCTCTACACATCTTTCGAAGGGTACACGGAAAATCATATTTGGGATTAGTCGCTGCAGCCAATGGGGGTCGTTAAATCCAAGAGGGAGATAGAGTCCTTGAAGAAGCCATATATGGAGGGAGGAATTTAAAGGGATATGGGAAATTAAAAATAAAAAGGAAGGATGATAAAAGAGATGGAATGAAGAGGAAGATGGAAGATAGAAATTGGAAATTGAAGGGAGTATCAGGAGGAGGTGCGTTGAAAGGCTATGAGGGTTTGAGAGAGAGGGTGCGGCACCTCTTAAGGTTTTATGTTGGCTTACTTGCAGAAAGATTAAGTCTTGAAGATTCAAACAACATTGCGAGATTAAGAGTTAATTGATTATAATTCACTCTTTTATCTACGCTCTTCCACCAATTCATAAACTCAATGAAAGAAGTCATAAGTTCAAGCCGTAAATCACAAAACCCTTTCCTTAGAACTCATTCAACAATTACAAGTTCACAGCAACGCGACAATTTACTAAATGTTTTAATCTAGTCCCGTATTTACAACTGAACAATGTTAATTATGTAATTCTCTTTAAACAAGATAATGTGACCTCATAATATTTAAGGTATATTCTTTATATTATAGGATTGAGATTGTTCAGATTGAAAACTCATGGAGTAAATTAAAACACTCAAAAAACTGTACTTAAAAAAACTCCTCAAATTATGTACTCAAAATTCGGACGAGTTGACACTTGACCCGCCTAATCCCCCAGTGAGTTGACTCCGATTTCGACTTCCGAGCCCCGAGTCGAGCAACTCCTCCCAATCCACTTCATCTTCTTCCTCCTTCTCTTTCCCTCTCATCATCTCCAACATCCTCCTTGCTTTCTCCCTCGCCCGGTCGCTTCCCTTTTTCTCCACCTCTCTTAACACCTCAATCGCCCCGGCCACCTTGGCCAACCCCTTAAACCTCAAACCACCATAACTCAGCCCACACAATGTGGCCACACAACTCTCCTGAGTTGCCTTCGAGTCAAACTCATTTCTTCTCAAGACACCCAACAAACATTCCACCCCACCCGCATCCATCATCGATGCCCGCCCCTCCGCACAAGAACTCAAGTTGCACAATGTGAGTAGTACCCGACCCGTCATATGACCTGACTTCACCATTCTCAAAAGAATTGGAACCGACCCGTGTTTAACCAATTTGGAGCGGTTACTCTGAACGAGTGTGAGGTGATACAAAGCGAGTGCCGAGTCATGCCGAGTCTGCTCGCTCTCGGATCGGAGTAAGTGAAGCAAAGGTGGCAAAGCACCCAAAACGCCAATGGCGGTCTTACAATCGTCATCAAGCGCCAAGCTAAAGAGTGCACCGGAAGCGTGTTCCTGCGCCTCAGGGGATCCTGCCTTAAGCACATCAATCAATGGAGGGAGAACTCCTGACCGGACGATCTTAATCTTGTTTGACTTTTCCAACGACAAATTGACCAACGCTGCGACCGAGTTCACCTGAACGCCGGTGTACCTGGACACGATCAGAGGTCGCAGGGCGGAGAGCATCCGAGGGGTGCAGAGGCGGGCCCGAGTGTCCTCTCTGGTTCGCGTGATCTTCCTCAGCGAGGCCAGAGCGTCCTCGATTTCGAACACGTGTGGGCTTCTGAGCTTGATCAAGATTTCGTCGTCTTCTACGGAGCCGGAGGATGAGTTGCTGTTGCCCGGGTTTAGGGTTTCAATTTCGGAGGAGGAAGACGAACGGGAAGAGTAGCAACTCGGCTGCGTCGAGAAGGGCAGAGGCGGAGTCGACACGAGCGCGGTGACCGATTCGTCGGAGCTCGAGTGGAAGTGAGTCGGACGCCGAGTCACCTCGGTGGCCGCGTGATTGAAATTCACTTTAGGGGTTTCGTTGACGCCTTGGATCAACAACTCGTTCTCCGAAATTACGAGCTTCTGGGGCTGGGTTTGGTTCTGGGACGCCATGAACGCACGGACGAGCTGATCGGCGGAGCTGAAATCGAGGGGCTTGGGAGAGTCTATGGAGGACTTGCGGCACCAGTTGAGAATGGCGGATTTGAGAGCGAGGTTGGAGATTACAGAGGAGAAATCGGGTGGGGGAGAGTCCACGAGAGTGGGTGTGAAGTTGAGGGCTTTGCAGACTTGGACGCAGGCACGCTCGAAGGTGTGGCCTGAGGAGACGATGACTGGGTCAGCCATTAGGGAACCAGAGACGGGGCAAATGAACTCTTTTGGAGCTTGGGCCTTTGCAGTTTTTGATGGAATGGCCGATGGGGACCTGTGGAAAAGCTTCCATTTGCGCCTGGGGCTGGGACTGCTTATCTCTGTCACTCTGTCAGGGGTTTGGAAAGCCCATTCGTTTTCTTTGGCTTTGTGGATCACCAACTTCATGATAGCCTCCTGAAACTCCATGCGCGAATTGTTTGTTTGAATCTCTGAAACAAGTAAGTGAAGCCCTTCTTCTTCAGCTTTGCATATGAACGAAAGACATAAGCTTTATGCGCATGTGAGGATGCTTGAATCCCATGATCCTGATTTGTTTTTGATAAAAGAAGCGGATTTTAAGACGCTGAAGACGAAGAGATTATATTTTCGATAAGCAGAAATATGGAGGTTGCTAAAATTGTGGAGAATTGGGAGAGAAAGGAGGCCTGAGGAGAAGAGAAGAAAAGAAAAGAAGAGAAAAGAAATGGAGATTCTTTAGATTTTAGAGACAGAGTTTGTTTGGGATACGGCGGGTGTGAATGAGAGGAAAAGATACAATTGTTGATGTGGTGTCTGATGGAGTCTGCGAATGGGATTCTGATGCCTCTGCTTTCGGAAAAATTTCTAATCATTTTCCAACTACAATAACTGGAGACTATTGCATGCACTATAATAAAGATGCGGGAGATTCTTCAGTAAGTTAATAATTGATAACGTACTTTTAATTTTGATCGTTAGATTGTATTCATTAAATATATTGGTAGTATTGTAAATAAAATCCAATGATCGAGATTAGAATTATATAACTAATCCTTAACTTAAACCCTTATTAGAGAATGTCTCTAGATATGCCTTTAATAGTATGCATGTCCAGTGACCAAACAGTGAACTATGGAATGAAAGCATTATATAGCAGTCAAAACAATTGACTAATTTCTTGCACTTCATAATAAAAAATAAACCATGGAGAAGGGTATCCGTGAAGTTTATTCTTTAATTTAGTACCAAGCCTAGCCAGTCACAAGCCAATCCAATTGCCCACCCATTAATTTCATTACATGGAAAAGCCCAAAAACTAAAACACTTGTCCTTTTTTAGGCTGAATCGATGGGCGATTTTTTGCTCCCCTGTTCTCTGATTTCTCTTGGAAAACAGAGGACGAGGTAAAACAATGGATGCGGCTTAGACTTGGATGATAATATGACAATTTGCTATGAATAATATGTTGTTGAATTTTGGAGGATTAAACAGATGTAAATCCGTGATTCAACAGAAGCTTTGAGAAGAGATGATGATGTGGCAATTTCTGGACCATCAACCTCATAGATTAACCTTCTCACTCAGTGGGCACTTGTGCAGACAAAATACCTGCTGCTACAGCAGCTTGATCCCACCACTGAAAGTTTAAAGAAAAAGGTACTCACTCACCTCCCCACTTTATCTTTGAAAAATGTTATTTTTGTGGGCATATGTGTCTCTTGACCTACTTTGTTTGCATGCAGATGTCCAGTTAAGTCACCACTCTCATCATTAGTGCATATACTTAAGCGTTAAGTTTCTGTAGCAATTGAAATACGAACTTTTATCAGTGTCCTAGGCTGGATCATATCTTATCTCCCTTTCTTTGCCAAAGTGATTGATTCCTTTTTTTCTACTCAACATTGGCCCACCCTTGACATAAACTAGCTTCCCTTTTTTTCGTCCCTTTCCTTTTGGCAGATCTAAACCAATTTCAGAAATGCTAAATCTGAACATTTTTATAAACCAAATGCAGAAATGCTTAGTTTCAAAGCGGTAGTCTTTCCATTTTCAATGGTTGAACACATCTATCATCTTTGTTTGCATGAGGAGATCAGAGCCGTGATTTGGTTGTTGTCGATATTAATGCATATTTTTCTCAATGTTTTGCTTCCAAACTGGTTTTCTTGTGAAGCACACAAGAAAAACTGATTGTTTTCTTATATGGCATCTAAGTTTGTTGGTTCTCTTTCATCACAGAAAATGCTGAATTCAGCTTGGGTTGAATTCATAAATCACTTGCACTTTTCACGAGAGGGCCCAAGGTCAAAGAGCTTTACTTTGATTTTTTTTTGTTAGTAGAATAATATCACCTGAAAAAGGCTGAATAAAATGGGCACTTTGAGCTGTGGTTGTCTCTGGCAGGCACCCAATAACTTAAGCATGCATGATTGCCTGCTTTAAGTAGGACCCGGCTTTTCCACACAGCAAATGTTTGCTCTAATCTTTCATTAACATTGAATTACAGCATCCGGAGAGGGATCTTGGTGTGGGTGGCAGGCAGTCTACTTTGTATGTACTATATTGGACATGCAGAATTTCGGTTCTTTCGTCCTCTTTTTTGATATCATGCTGAATCCTGCATGCATATGCATAGAATGATTATTTATGCTTTTTGAAAGAAAGACCTTTACAAAGTGGCATGAGCCTTTTTGTTTGCTTATAATAGTGCATGGCATCCATCCTCCATGTCTATGTGTGGTCTCTTATTTTGCTATAAGCTACAAGTTATTTGTGTTGTTTGTTTGTGGGAAATTGGGTAGAGATTGCATTGATTCTAGACTTTAGAAAACATAGACATGTGATACGAATATAATTTAGTTGAGAGAAAGCAAGGGAATTTTTGTGGGGTCTTGCTCTTGGCAAGTTTGTGGAGCAGGGAATTGGATTCTCATTTCTCAGCTGGAATTGGAAGGGAAAAAAAAGGAGAAAAAGGGAGCACTTTTCTCCACCCATCTCCCTTGACAAGTTCGTTCTTGTTGATGTTGATATAAAATCTAGAGCTAGGATTTTCTCTAATTTTATGCCCTCAGTTACAGTAGGATGTGCTGTGCTTGATTCCAAATACTCCCACCAACCGCTAAAACTCATAATTTATGAAAGGATAGATATGCCATTTGGTTGTGGTACCAGACCAAATCTATTTTCATAACACTGCATGGGCTGGGTTAAAGGGAGATCATGGGTGGACGCTTTGCTTTCGTCATCAAAACCAAAAGAATCTTATGGACGGGCCTTGGTATGTTTGGGTGGCCAAGTTTTGTGGGTATCGGAGCCGATGAACCACACTGAATTGGGCCCAATTAGGCCGAATAATTGGATGGTCAGTGGGCCTACCTCCTATATTTGGTAGGATTTCGTGGGAAAATGGTCCGATTGGTGGAGCTTGGCGTGTGTGATGACGCGTACAATAAACTCGTCCCTTTTTCTTTTTTTTTTGGTCAAAAACTCGTCCGTTTATAGGGAGGAAGAAGAAACATCCGTGGAAAGTAGGAAACATCCGCGTAGTAAATTAAAATCCTATCTGGGTTTGGCTTATTGCCCAAGCCAAGCCAACCCAGACCGACCACCCTCGCTCCCCGCCCCTATAAATCAAACACAGAACAGAGGCCAAGCCACCTTTGTTTATGTGTTTGTTTCGCTACAAAAATTCGAACAACTGAAGATCAAAGATAATTCAAAGACATCAATCAAATTGAGACATGACAGGAGGAACCGAAGCTTTTCCGGATTTGGGAAGGCACTGCCAGCACTCCGATTGCCACCAGCTCGATTTCCTCCCTTTTCAATGCGACGGTTGCCATAAGGTAACCTTACGGTACACAACAACAATTCACATCATAAATCTTGTGTTTATATAATTTCTGAAAATTTGGCATTTATATATATATCTGTAGGTGTTTTGTGTTGAGCATCGGTCTTTCAAATCCCACGAGTGCCCCAAATCTGATCACAACAGCAGAAAGGTGTTGGTCTGCGAAATCTGCTCCACCTCCATAGAAACCACCGGCCGCGACGGAGAAAAAGACCAGAAGCTCTTGTTAGAGAAGCACCACAAGTCTGGAAATTGCGACCCAAGAATGAAGAAGAAACCCACGTGCCCGGTTAGGCGGTGCAAGGAGATCCTCACGTTTTCCAATACCAGCACATGCAAAACTTGCCAGGTTAAGGTGTGCCTCAAGCACCGGTTCCCCGCCGACCATGTTTGCCGGAAGCAAACGACGCCTTCCTCATCGTTGTTGGTGGGTAATGGCGTGCACTGGAACGAAAAGTTCATGGCTGCTTTTGCTTCAAGGAAAGGAAAAGAATGCGGGAAGAGCGAGCGCGATTCCAAGTCTTCATCGATTACGCCTTCTGTTAGAGCATATTAAGAGATAGCGTCATGGGTCGTCTGTTGTAAACGTCTGTTACTTTTTCTTTTTATGTAAAATCACTGGGAGGAGGGAGGGGATTCGAACTTGGATTTGAATAATTCCAACTTGAGTTTTTACTAAACTCAATTGGAGGGAGAGGGGATTCGAAAGAGATTTTACAATCCAGTAATCATCATAAATTTTACTAATTACAATTCATGGTTTGATCTAATTGAGAATACATGTACTCGTACAAAAACCAGACATTCATGTGCAATGTACAATATAACTGAAGATTAATGTGTACAATTCATACATTCATTTGCTCACGTCCTCTGTTTCTATCTATAAAATACAACAGTAAACACCTATTTTTCAAATCAACAAACACCTATGGAGGATAAATTATTCAAACTGATCAACCCCCTCTCAAACCTCAACTTCAACACAAGATTTCACTCGATTTCTTCCACTACATTTTCTGATACAACAGGTGAAAGTACAAATAAAAGAAATGGCTCCTTAGATAGCAACAATTTTCTTTTCTTTTTTCCAATGGTATTTTACATTGCATCGTTGGAAGTAGAGATTATGGGGGTTGCCGTTTCGTACGGGGCAGAAGAGCTAGAAGAATCTTTTTTCTTGGTCCCTGCAAATCAAGCAAGCCTTTGTGAGAAAAGTTCAATTTCATTTCCAATGAGCAGGTAGAAACAATGGATGCTAGAGGGAATGGATACCATTGGTATACCCAGCTCTTTGAGGTCCTTATCCCCCATCTGCTTCAAAGCAGTCATGTCAACCTGTAAATCAGATAATTAAGAATGAAAAAACATGAAGTTGAGAGAACCAAAAGAAAAAAGCGAACCTAAAGTCAGTTCTTCATTTATATTAGTATTCCTCATTGGATTAATCAGATTTCCACATTTAAAATACAGATAGTCAGTTGTGACATTCCTTTTTGTTTTTTTTCTGGCGCTACCTATCTCAGACATCAGATTACAATCAAATGAAGGAAAGCACACCTATATCAAAAATCACATTCTGCAATGTTTTTATAGGAATCAAGATTGGGTAACTTACTTCTTCAGCCTGGAAAATAATGACATATTTTCCCAAACCAAGTCTATGCAACAAGCCAGGAACAGTTAGAGGTTCATCCCCCTGTACAAATGCAAGACAGAGAGAGACAAACTCATTAAAGTCAACTGGCAATACTAAATCAGATTTCCCAAAAGGAAGCTAAAGTGTTGAATAGCCATAAAGGAGTACCATAAGTGAACTTTTCTGCATGCTGCCACTTGCTGGAGCAAATTGTGCAACTGGCCTGGCAGCTTGAGGGGTAGCTTTCATTGTGAAAAGTAAGGAGTCTGTTGGCTGAGAACCACCAACCATACCATTTCTCAGGAACTGGCCAGATCTAGAGGCATCAACTGCCCTAAATGATGATGCTGGGCGCAGCTCATCAAAATTTCTTGGTGGGGATCTAGCTCTCAATCCATCCCTCGGTTGAGAAGAGTAGAAGTTCCTTCGTGAATTTACCTGGTATAAATCACCTGCACTTTCACTGGGAGGAATTTTCATCATCACGCTACTTCCATTTGTTTCTGATTCGTGCTGCAGCATCTGATATCTCACCGATGGATGAACAGGTTTTGACAGCTTTACACGAGGGTCCATCCGCTTGCGCTCTTCAACAGCTCCACCAGTTTGCTTAAATAATCTTTTACGCAACAACTTCAATCTGAGGTCATTTCGACTGATTCGTGAATCTTCACTTGTTTTAATGGACCAGAGTCAATACAAAGAAACCATATAAAGAACAAAAAGAGTTGGTAATATCACATTAGACAATTTACCATGCAGTTGTTTGTCACCCCCACTCCATTTTCTACCATCTCCTCGTTGCCTGAAAATTGATATTGAACACATCATGATAGAACTAAAGACACACATGACTACTGCCTCAAAAACCAATTCTCAAAATAGCATAAACACATTACTGCTATAATAAACAAATGATGATTTCTGCCAATTTTAGAAGTGCAGTTCTCCGGTTGGTTGCTAAACAAATTAAAAAAGAAAGGCGAAAATGATTATTTTTATGCTTTTCATATTATGCACCCAATTAAGGGACAAAAGACACCAACCTACTTCTATATTCCAATCCTTTGTGGTAAGGTTGCGATTTGACCATTCTCAAAATGAAAATGCTTCAAGAGCTAGTTTTGGCATGGTGATAGTTTGCACAGTAGAAGACATAAAAAAGATTTTGGGCATGGATAAGATGAGTTCATAGTACCAAAATGAAGGAACCAAACCATTGGAGAATCACATTCTCAATATAAAGTATCTGAAGAACTTCCCAAACAAGTAGTAAGCTGATAAGCCAAAGTTACAGAGATTAAAGAGACAGAGCAATGTACCGCTTGCCAGCAGAAAATGAAAGACCATGAGCATTACTCCCAAGTCTGTCTCCCATTGATCGCTTACTTCCAGAAACTAGCCCACTATAGCCATGCACTCTCGCAGAGTCTGATGCCGATCCCCCCCTCTCCACAACCTACAAAAACATTTCCACTAATAAGTAAATAAAAACACACAAATCAACCCAAATTCGCCTTGAAATCGGTTCAGCCCAAGATATATCCATTCAGCGAAGACCCACAACCCAAAAAATTCATCAAATTATCAAAGCAACCATAAAAACAATTAGAGCATTCCACTGCACAAAAAATAGCTAAGTAATACGAGGAAATTCGAGCTCATGTCTTTTCCGAAACAGAACAAGAAAAAATAAAATTGAAACTAACAAAATAAACTTAGCTCCCTTTCGCAGCTGAATAATGTGGAAAATTATATAAAATTGAAGCCAATAAGAAAAAAGAAGAAGAAACCTTTTTCCCGTTTGTCACAGATTCAGCGCAAGCAAACAAACCAGTAATTGGGGCAGAAAACACAGAAAAAGTATGAAAGCAGGAAGCAAAGTACCTGACCAGAGCGACCAAGGGTGATGGTGACCCTGGGCTGCGACATGTCCGAGAGCCAAATGTGTGACTGAGGAAAATGATTTCAGAGATCTAAGAAGAAGATGATGATGAAGAAAAGACAAAGTAAAACCCTATTTATCCATCTCTATGTTTCGATTTGCAGAAAGGCATCCATGCGTGGCATTGCCATCTTACAGGTCTGTCTTTGTGAGGATGTCGCCTGGTCAAGTCAATCTACCTGGGCTGGGCCAACAATTTCCCACCTTTCAAGCCCATTTCTTTTAGAAATTAGAGAATCGTACTTCAGGTTCAGGTCGATGACCAAATGGTCTCAAGTTCAAACCCCATGTGCACATAGCACGTTGGCAGTGTGAAAAAATTCAGGTATAATTGGCAGTGTGTGTGAAAAAATCTCGTTCCCCAATACAGCTTGCAATTTTTATTTTTTTTTAAAGTCCATATCGATGAAAGCAAATGTGTCTAAACCAATTACAAAAAATTTAGAGACAGATTTATTATTTACAATTTATAATAGTATCTTTTTTCTTTGATAAATTTTCTTTTAAGCTTTGCATAGACTTTTCTTTTTCTCCTTTTTTGATTGGTACAGAAGATGATATTGAAAGCAACCTCACATTTCCCTGAATCGATGACCAATGGGTTTTGTCCAAGTGTCTCGGGAACTTATCCAAAATATACCATTGAAATGTCGGTCGACACACAAATTGGTGATCGATTAAAATTACATCAATGTTGGAGCTATGAGAATATGACAAGTCCATGGGATATTTTCAGACTAGAACAAAGATCAGACATTCAAAAGATGAGCTTTTCTTCATTTTTTTTTCCTTTCACAAATACAGAAGTGGACTGTTTACACATACTTTTCAATACACACTAAAGCTTATTACATGTTTGCTGTTGATTCTCTGATCTCTTCCAAGGAGATGGTCTGCATTGCACAAGAGTTGCAGGGAAAACAAATTAGACTATAAAAATAACATGCAAGAACAGGAGTACATGAGATTTCTCAAACCGCAATATGTCAAACCTATTGTTTGGATTATCTCAACAAACTACAATTGATGAGCTAAAAGAAGGGTGCATAAGTTACCTGTTCGGGTCCAGCAAAATCATTGTCAGAAGTGAGAAAGAGCATGCAGTGGCACTCCTTCCTGCCAACACAATCTTACGGCTTTAAAATGATCCGGGTTTACATATACTTGAACTATTGCATATAATGCTGGTTTGCAATAGTTTAGATGTCAAAGTTAAAATGAAATAAGCTTGAGATTCTTTAGCTGGATTTGAGTAGAATATTCGGATTACGTAAATCTAACATTAACTCTATAGCGCATTTATCTTTGATTTCAATGTCTGAGTACCAAAAGAATGAAATGGAAACTTTAATAAAATAACCTGATTGGTATACTACTTTCACAAAATAATGAAATGATATTTACCTCTCTCTCATAGGAACACATGGGCAGTTCCAAAAGCCTTGGCCAGCCTCGGCAGGTTTGTCATCATAATGCCTGCAACAAAACGAGTTCAGACTTGGAAAGCATGACATGATATGAACACGAAGTGATTTTGACACTAAGAACTGGTAAGGAGTTTGAGGCATAGGGCAGAGTAGGAACATCCTAGTGAAGAACAATAGGAACAGATGTTTACCGACAAGGGCAGAGTGGCGCTCCCAATGAATCTTTATGGTCTGCCAATCCCTGTTGAAATTGAAAGATCAGTTCAATTTACTTGGATAAATACACTTCAATCAAATGCACAGATTAAAATGAAGGACCCAAGTATATATATATATATATATATATATATAATATCAGGATTCCAGATCTGTAAGGGATCTTTTTGTCCCAAATCAAACTTCTCTTGTGACATAAAAGAACATGAACTACAACAGAAAGTTATTGAACTGAAGAACTATGCCTATGGGGATCATTTTGAGGGAATAGTTTAAAGATGTTTCATAATCTATAGGATCAAACGGCTCGGGGTAATATGTTCTTTACGGTTCTAATCCATGGTGGAAGCTTATAAAGTTATTGGTTTTGAAGTAAATTTGAAGTATACAATGCTACACAAGTAAGGTCCAATGAGTAGATAAATACATACCTTGATAACAACAGAAGTCACTCCCTTATCCACGCAGAAGTATGTTCCAGACTTGCGAGCATACTGCTCAGAGAACTTCCTCATAATTTCAACAGACTTCTCTGATGGTTCCGCTGCCAGAACACAAAATTCATAGCATAAATTAATCCAAAGTTCACATTTTTAAAACGAAAACACTATCAAAAGGGGGATGAAGATGCTTTGAAATGAAATGACACATATGACATCCTAATTTAAGCTGAAAATGTTCAAAATTTCCGGCCCCAAAAGCTCAAGTCTACTAATCAAGCAAGGTTTTTAATTTGGCATTGCACATATCACACTTTAAAGGTTTAAAACACTTGTACATAATCACTTAGAGCAACGCAAGCTCTTCAGAAGCTCGAATATACGTATGATTTACATAAATACCAGGCGAGAACGTCAAATTGGGGCAACAATAAATCTGAAAACCCACTAATTATAAATGATAATACAACGAAAATATGAAAGAAAAAAAAAAGGAGGACAAAAAAGATGTTTCAGAATTCGAACCTTGAGCTCGGATTACATGGCGGTGGGTGGAGCGTCTGAGAGGAGAAACGAAGGAGGAAATGCTGACGCGGAAGGACGGAGCTTGGAGTTGCAGAGTCATGGCCTGAGAGCGAGTGCGGAAGAGAGAACTGGTGTGGGAAATTAATAATTATTGGGCGTAATAATCCGTTTGTTTATATAATTTTGGGGGATTTAATTTGGAAATTTTGGAATTTTATGAGATGGATTTGGGAATTGGCATTGAATTGAATGAAGTTGAAGCAAAGCTGTGCCCGCCACTCGTTCGTTGTGAATATCGGTTAAGGAAACACACCAACCACTCGGTCCGCTACCAATGAATCCACCTCTCCCTCCTTCCTTACTTATTAAAAGGCCTTGGGCCTGTTTTTGTCTAATTAGCCCAACCCATCCACCTATAGACCAAATTTTGACCCATATGATTTTTCTTTTCTTTTCAAATTGACCCAAATAATTGAATACAATCTCTATCTAAGCTTGATTATGATGAATCCTATATAATTGACCCCCATTTGGTTTGCTTTAAATTTCAGGTTCAACTAGTGTAGGTTTTGATTGTAGTCCTCAAACCTAGTTAGTTTGTTCGAATTTGATCGGATTGAACTCAAATTTAGCATACGAGTTAGGTGTGTTGAATTGCATATGTGGGTTATGTGAGCTAAGTAGATAGTGACATAGTGTGGATCTCCCCCTTTATATTTGAATTTGAATCCCCATTCCTTTAGGTTTAAGTTTTTTTTTTTGTCATTCGACAGAGAGGGAAGTATTATATTGAGGTACCTCAAGAGTGTCTTCTACGTGAATCGAATCCGAGTGCACTTAACAGAAAGGGAAAGAGTTTGGCTCACTTTTCCACTGTGGTGCCATCCCATGTGTAGGTTAGAGTAATTTAGACTCTCGCCTTATAGAAAAAGTTAACTATAATGTAGGCTCTATGTATATTTATAGATGGTGGATATCATCTTAGTTCAAAAATAGGAATGGTAATGATTCAGGGCCAAGATTAATAAATGACGACCTATGAGCCTAGCATGATGTGTGACGGATTAGTTTGTGAACACATATTAGATTAGTTTATGAATTCATGAGAAATCTAGAGACATATATATCCATATCATCTTCACTGCACTGTCTGAAATGAACTCTGAATCATGCATGCCGCCTTTAATTATTAAGATTCTGCACTATCATATCGCGAGATTGACAGCCTAATAAAAAATGTCTTGCATTAATCAGCATCGACTAGGTAGACTAGTAGCTATAGCCAGAAAGTTACTTAACTAGGGCAAAACCGTTGATCGAGAAGAACAATATAAAAAATTGGCTCCACCACAAGCACTAGCTAGGGCAAAGGCCTAATTTCATGCGTCTGTTTGTGTAAATATGCAGCTTAATTACTTATCTGTACTGTCAAAAAAAGGTCATCAACTCAAACTTTTCAGTTTTCACAGCAAGAACTCAAACTAGCTACTAATCATCTCCCACAATGGGTCATGGGAATAATGTACACCAATCCCCATCATCCGTATATGGTAAAGCCAACATCATACAGACATAATGTACCCAACATCATACATACAATTTGGCAAAACTCTCAGCTGCAAAATGTGGACTGAAGAACACAAGTAATTATTATCTATTTTCCCAATCTCAATACATATACTTTGCACAGAATCCCACTGGAAAAAGATCTCACTGACAAAATGAACAATTATGACATAGCATTGCTAAGCTGAACACGTATATTAAATTAAATTAAATTAGTTTCTGTTTTGCTACAAATTAAGAGCAAATATATAATACACACTTCCATTTTGAAAATACTTTGAGCTAGCTGCATGCTAATTAACCAATTAAAAATACGGTCCAAATATATATATATACAGACCTCAAATTACGAAGTTACATGTATATATGGTGAAAGGGTAATGGATTGATCTTTGTTAATTCACATATATGAAAATCCCTTTGTAGAAACCCTAACACAGATCCTGTAGATCTGAACTGGAAAAGGAAAATCAAGTAGAACCAGTACTTCACATATATAATCTAGAATCGATTTCTTCAGCAGTTACAAGTACAACACAAACAATAGTTCTGATAATTTAAACAAGATAATCCATACACACACACACACACACACACAAACACACACACTCGGAGAACAAAAGAGTTTCTTACCAAATATAGTGACTTGAGTCTAACATAACCTGTAACAACAAAACCAGGAAAGACAGAGCCTTTATCTAGCTAACAAGATCTAAAGTGTACGTGACATAAATCTAAGGAACAAGTTGCCAAACCAAAAGAAGTTGAAAATTTGAGATTTGCTTTGATTCAACACTAGCAAATCGTCGTCGGACCAAGATGCTTGATTCCCCCAAAGCGCAAAGACTTGCAATAACTCTTTGAACTTTATTAAGGAGAGAGATCGAGATTCTTCACTCGCAACCAAGGAGAGCGAGAAAGCTAACTTATTAGCTATAGCTAAGCTAAGCTAGGGTTGTCTTTCTGCTGGGCGCTTGAAAATCATGATGAGAAATATTTTTTTTTCGTTGGGTCGCTTCTTTTTCTTCTTCTTCTTCTTTGGTGGTGATATTAATGAGAATAATGACACTTTGGGTGTGGGTTTTGTGGGGTGGTTGGAGTTGGAGGTGATGAAGCAGCAGCAGAGGGTGGTGTGGAAGCAATGATGGCGATAAAGAAGGTAAGAGGAGGACATGATGATTGCTGTTGGGTTCTGGCGTTGAAAGAAAGGCAAAGCCAAAATTTCTAGGTTTTTTGTGCCCCTCTCTTTCTCTTTCTTTCGCTCTCTGACATGTTAGAAAAAGAAAGAGAGAGAGAGAGAGAGAGAGAGAGAGAGAGAGTGCGTGTGACGGTGTGAGTGATGATGACTTTCATTCATGAAGCCCAACACTCCACAATAAAATAGGGTTTTGAGGCAGACAGACATGGCTAGCCTTCATCTGAAAACTTTCATTTTTATCTCTTTAATTTGGGGCCACACTCATAATGCAGCTTTATTATCCAAAATAAATATATCTTAACAAATAGACTAGATTTTGGCAAAGTATAATTTGCTTAGGTAAGCTCATGAGCTCTAGCTCAAATACTATTATAATAAAATGAAAAAGTGATAAGTATTTAGTTCCAAAAGGTGATTTAGGAAAAAGAAAAAAAAAGCATGGTGATTTTGCACAAAATAATGATAGGTAATGCTTGGTTAATGTGTTAATATTGAGATTTGGATTTAATTATAGAGCACAAAGTTCTTGAGTAGCTACTACTCGCACCACCATGAAGTGATCAGATTGTTCTTCACATTATAATTTTACAAGTTTATAAATAAACTCAATCCTAAACATGTATTTATAAAAAAACTTAAACACTATTTAAACATAGAAACACACCCAAAATCAACAATTGTATATTTTTGGGTGTGTTTATAAATGGGTTTTGAGTGTGTGTAATGATGAGTTTTGGGTGTGTTTATAAAGTGTTTTGGGTATTGGGTTTTTTTTATAATTTCAGCCCCTATTTTGGGTGTTTTAGTGAAACTCCCAATTTTCACATGGTCAATGTTGAAAAATCTGTTTATTAATAACGTGATGGAGACAATCTGACCAACAAAAAAAAGAAGTGATTGAGACACGAATGAAATTTGAAAAATATACAGAATATTTAGAAGATCAAAACGTTTTGAGCTCAATATTTCACACGTACAAATTAATTATTTTTTAAAAACTTTTACAAATTTGTGCAAGGGAAGTTGAAGAAAGAGACAGATGCTCGAATGATTGAACTTAAAATGGAGTCTAGAGCGGATGTGTTCCTCACTCTGCACCCGAGTTCAAATTTTCTTCTTATAGTTTAAATTAGTTTAAGGTTGATTATTACTTGTATAAAAAATAAAAAAGATACTCTTTTTATCACTAGAGAGTTAGAAAAGAGAAAGTTGAACAACAGAACATGGAAATGGAATCTATAGTTTCCAGAATTGGACTGGATCCCAGCAGCAGCAGCAGGTAGCATATTCGGCCAAATTTGATTGTCTTCCCCACCTGGATGTCATATTCAGGCTAATCTAAAAGCTAAAATGCAAAAGATGAAAAATCCAGGTTTGAAAAACGATTCAAATAATCTTTGACTGGTTACTGGTGTTTGCCTACCCACCACGATTACATTTACGTAGGCAATTCGTTTTTACCCCTTCCAAGCAATTGTGTAATGGAGATTAGGAAATTATATATATATATATATATATATATTCTTTTTTGGGTTAATTCTGTCTTGGATTTAATTCAAGATGCCAGACAAGGTAAGTAAATGAGTTCTGAATTTTTTTATATTTTTAAATACAAATTATAGTTTAAACTACCCAAAAAAAAAGGGTTTTTCACACACACAATACTAAAGTGTCAAAAAAATTCAAACCTAAAACAACTCATCTGCAAATTTAGGCCATTTTTCACTGAGTAGAGTCATTGGTAATGAGTTAAAAGATTTAAGATTAATAAGTGAATGTGAATAACCGAAAAAAGAGAGGAGAAAAGTCAACAAAAAGGAAAAAACAAGGGTTAGAACATTCTACAACGACGACAAAAGAACAAAACGCATGTTTCGGCAATGGTGGGCCCTGTAGGGTTATGTCGGTACCCTCCAAATAAAGGATGGGGGGTCCACACATGCGAAATGGGATGAGAAATTCTTGTCGTATAGTAATTCCAGGGATGATGAAATGAAATCAGGAGTTTTTAGCTTCCGAGTCCTCCATGTGCCATTTAGCTTAACTAGAGTCCAAGCTAGCATGTACCAACACCTTTACGTTCACCTTTTTCGTTTTCTCTTTGTTCCTTTCTTTTTTCATGTAAGTTTATAATTGTTTCCAAAAATTCACAGATACAGAGGGTGGATTCTGAATTTACAATTTGATTTTATTAAACCAGCTCTTTGCATTTCCGATGCAACAATTTCCGGCCATTGGATTTGGATGTCAACAGAGTGCGCGCATTCTCTCTTCTTGCAGCAAACAATCAATCAATCTATATACAGAGGGTACCATCCATCAATTTACCATTCCAAAGATTTCATCTCCACAATTCCTGGATTTTGAGATACCATATGATTCCAGATATTTTCACACTTTTGGATGATCATCACATCAATCTGTGTGCTTGCTTTCATTCTATAGTAGATACTGATCAAGGGAACGATGATACCGGTGGTACCTTGTGGCGCAAGCTCAGATTTCGACCTGAGCCGTTGGTGTTGCATCTTCGTTTCTGGGAGATTTAAAACCACACTCAAGTCTTATTGCCGCCAGTAGTTCAGGAGACACAGAACCCTGTGTAGAAACCTTCTTCCCCGTGTTGCTTGCTTTCCTATCATTATCTCCTGCAGCACCCCAACCCCTGTAAAGTATAACTTTGCTAGGCTCCTGGGAGACTAGAACTCCACCCGTTGCTTGCTATGAGAGAGAGAGAGAGAGAGAGAGAGAGATTCAGACAATTTATAATGCAAGTGAAAAAAGGGGGAAAGAGAAGTAGGAGGAACTTGGGCGTGCGTGCATACCTCCAGTTTCAAAACCACTTCCCTGACTGAAGTTCCTTTTGCTCTGCCTTTGACGTTCACTATGGCAAGAGGATGCTTCTCAAAGTGAGCCTTGATTGTCTTCGCCACTCCGCTTACAATATTGTTCCGTCCTAAAAGCGATAACAGAAACAAACTACTTAGAAATAATGGGTCTCATATGCCAACTTATACTAGGACACACACATAAGCATAAACCTATATACAATTGCAGTGGAAAAACATAAGGTTCCAAATTTAACTTACATTAACTACTAATGGTGGAACTAATTCAAGCATTTTCATAATAGAAAAGGAGATAACTGGGAACCAAAAAGTTTAGATAAGCACTAGCATGAGCTGGAATTTTCTTACCAAATAAACAACCATTTTAGGAAATGAATGATTAACGAGAAGAGAAAAACTGGAAAAGAAAAAAGGAAATAACATTACCGACTGCAAGCACAGGGCGTTTTTTCATCTTGAGGGCTTGCTTTCGCAGAAGCAGCCTCTCCCCGTTGGAAAGATGCACAGATTTCGAGGGCCTCCCATTAAAATCCTTTCTTACCATTACTGGGACTGACGGTTCAGATTCACTATTGCCAAATCTACCTGATGTGTCCTTGGCCTCAATCTCAGAAACACGATGCTGTTTGTCAACAGTTGCAGAACTGTTCAGACCATTTGACTGAAACCCCATAAATCATACAACATAATAAGTTTATAAAAATGGATCAAGAATATAAACATGCATAGGACTTCATGATAATTGATATTACCATAGCATCTTCAGGGAAAGATGTAGAGATGGAGACTCCCTCTTCTCCATTTACATCCTTGAACAAATTTGCATGAGTTTCATTTGTAACTGGTTCACTTGAAGAGACTGGCTCAACTTCACCATTTTCATCCTCACAACAGATCGAAGAGAAAGTAATCACCTTATCCTGTTGTGTGGCTAACTGACCGTTCACTATAGTACCCATTCCATCATTCAATTTCATGGGAGTCACATGAGCTTCTTGTTTGCCTCTACCCTTGAAAAATAAAACATGCACTATTTCAGATATCACTCCTGCAGGCTGCAGAAGATACCGAGGTACTAAATATAAACATACATAGGACTTCATGAAATTGATATTACCATAACATCTTCAGGGAAACATGTGGAGACGAAGTCTCCAACTTCTCCATTTGTATCCTTGAGAAAATTTGCATGTGTTTCATTTGTAACTGATTCATTTGGAGGCCCTGGCTCAACTTTACCAATTTCATCCTCCTCATTTGTAACTGATTCATTTGAAGATCCAGGCTCAAATTTACCAATTTCATCCTCATCCCATGTCGAAGAGAAACTAATCACCTCATCCTGTTGTGTGGCTAATTGACCGTTCACAACAGCACCCATTCCATCATTCAGATTCATGGGAGTCACACGAGCTTCTTGTTTGTCTCTAGCCTTGAACGATATAACATACACTATTTCAGATGTTACTTATGAAGAAGATACTAGGGAGATAATAAATACATATTATATAGTAGAATGAAAACCAAGTCTGACATATTAGCATTGTCTTTACATCAACATTCTTTTCATGGCAAATAGGTTTTACAGAATGAGAGAGAAAACATGTTTAAGTTCAGTATCTGATGTTAAACATTCTTCTGATCGAACAATATTTGCCTCCTCTCTGACCTCATTTATATCAAAACTGTTAACTTTACCTCCTTTTATAACTTTTTTTTTGGTACAAGCGATTGGGGGAGGGGGGTTTACACAAATATTCATTGAAGAAGTACACATTGCATAGAAGAGCATAGATAGCTGAGATAGCTCACCAATTCATTTCTTGATTCACCAACCAACTGCATATTGTCCGCTTCCTTATCTTTAACCTGGTTCAAGAAAACATTGCATAATTTGCCTCACTTTGAATGGGCACAGCCGACATAGAATTTTGAAAGAAAAGGATAAAACAGAAATATAGAAACCCAAGACAACTCACCAACAGAAGCTTCAACTCGTCTATGTTTTCGTTAAGCCTCAAAACATGAAGTTTCAACGACTGCAGGTCAAAGCAGGAAACAAACAGAAAGGAATCAGATGATGAAGTAGATATGACGTTGGGGAGAATATAAATGGGAACTAGACAAATAAATATCTCCATAGTTTTTCCTCAAAACAAACAAGTCTACATTGTGCCAAGATCCTTGTCATAATGGACTTTACATGCCAGTGAAACTACAAGCTTCATTTGACGGGTCTACTGTATACTTTTATAACACAATTCCAACCAAAAGGCCAACCTTTATCATCAGTTTTCAGGGTAGATCAACTCCTATGTTTAAGTATTTAACGTGAAAACAGTGGAATTAGATCACTTAGCCATTAATCCAGTCTCTTTGGGGCAGGTGTGATGAAATTTATGTTATGTTCCTTTTTTTTTCTTTCAGTGTTTTAAGTTGCAGGAAGCAGGTTGATGATGACAAATAGCTTAAATGCAAGAGACAAGATGGGCAAGCCAATTTTACCTCACGACGCTGTGCCTCAATAGAACGCTTCATTGCTTCTCTTTTATTCAGAAGTGTCTGAGGTCTCAAAGAAGCAGGCCTGCTGTAATTTTTTCCACGATACACAATGATTGCATAACCCTTACTCACTCTCTCCACTGCCACTAGTATCCCGCCACTTTCTGCCTCTAAGGTTTGTGCTACTTGCTGAACAGCTTCAATGCTTTTCTCATTACATATTATCTTAACGAGTTCCCTATACTTCCAATGAAGATGCATGTTTTCGATTGTTCCATCAAAGACTCCTCGTCTACCTGAGAATTAAAAGAGAAGACTTATCAGAACTACTTCTAAAGGAACTAGATATTTTGATGCATTTTCAATATGACCTATAATTTAATTCAAAAGGAAGAAATAAGGTAACAAGTAACAACTAGTGAGTTCAAGAGAGAAGAAGTATAACTCACCCATCAGTAGGAACGGCTTCATTCTCAAGCCAACCTTCCTTAGCATATATCTTTCTTCTTTAGTTATACCTTCCTTATCTGTTTCAGGTTGTTGGGGGATAGCTGCATTCTCCAGCTCTGCTAGAAGTTTTTCTGCCTTTGCTTTCTTTTCTAAAGCCTGTTTATTACAGATAGGTCATTTATAACACAAAAAACAGCTGAACCAGAATTCACCCAACTGTAGCATCTGCACAAAACCATACCATAGACAATTTAATGCTAGTCCTATTGACAACCACCTCAGCAGACTTTAGCTTTCGTTTTGCAGATGGAAGGCCCATTTTATGATCATTGGTCCATTCATGTTTATTTTCTGGTTCAGTCCTGGGTTCAAGCTCCTGTCTAGTCGTAACTGAGGTACCACGCTCTGCAATCTGTTTCTCAGCATGTATTGCATACTTCCTCCGCTCTTCTATGGCAGAAGAAACTGCAGGCGGCAGAAAATCCTTTCCCCTATACAAAACTATAAATTCCCTGTCCCGAGCAAGCAGAGTTCCTCCGGTCAGCCTCTGCAACAGAGTACAATTTATTAAAGGTAGCAATAACCACAAAGTTTTAAAATGAAAATATCAAAAATTACAGAAGAAGTCCTAGCTAACTCAATTTGAATGTAAAACGACAGGATTAACAAGCCATGATGTATTCTAGTAATAATAAATAGGTAGCATTGAAGAGATATTCCCAGCTTATTTTCAACCTTTAATTCTTCAGCCATAATCTCGGTATTAGTGTTCTGTACCCCTCTTTTAACAGCTATTTTGGCAATCTCACATTTTTCCCAGAGTTTGACAATGGAAGAGGCCAAACCTTGAAGATTTCTATTTCTGCCTGTGAAAAAGGGAAGAAAAAAAAAGTAATTAAACACTGGCCAGAAAACAAGAGTTGTAAGAACATAAGCCAAACTCACCCAATGCAAAATGGCATGGTAAGGGTCGGCCGAGTCTCCTGATTGTGGTCATTTCATCATCTGTTAGTTTAGGTTTCAGACCATAAGGAAGAAGGCGGAAAGGTTTCCTGTATCCAGGAACAATGGCTGGTAGAAGGTCAGCATCAACGGGAAGAGGTTCATAACCCCACCAATCAGTAAACCGTGGACCCAGTCCTTCTAACATGCGGTCAGCTTCTTCAGTAAGTTGTGCCTCTCCTGGAAGTTGAAACCGAACTCTATCTTGCAATCCAACACCTTTCACTAACATTGGTTGAGCTCTTTCATTGGTTGTACTTGGTATTATAGCAGAGTCTACTTCATTTGAGATCTCATTTATTCCATCATTGATGTGTGCATCAGGCAGTGCATTATGGGAAGTGTCAATTGTCGAATCTTCATCAACTTTATCGTGCAAAAAGTAAGGATACTTATAGTTAACCCCTCTATACAAAACTATCTTACTTCCAGATCTCCAAACAACCAGCCCTCCAGTTTTTCTCTGAGAATGTTAGAAGAATACCAAAATCAGGACACTGCACACCCTAGAGAGACGTAGTCGACATTACCAAATGGATAATTCAACAAGCTGGATGCTTTTGTACTATGTTTATATAAAGAATGAAAATCCAATTAAGTCATTATACAATGTCAAGTGACCCAAATCTATAACAAGTGATAACGCATTGCAATTCAAAAACCAAAACCTGTTGGAAATTTTAATTAAAATACTCCTACAACCTCATATAAATTCAGTGAATTAAATAATACCCAAAACACTACAATCATACACCGTAGTAAATACAATCAAACATGTTTAAAATAACCCCTGTACAAACTAACACATGAGGAAAAACAACTTTATCAGATTTCCAAAATTTATCTTTACACATGTACTATAATGTCAGATTTTTCTCCACTTACAAAAATTAAAGATTTTAGTAAAACACTTGACAGAATTCAAAAAGATACGAAATGGAATTTTGAAACAAATGTACAGGAATTTAAACATAACAATCCCAAACTCATATAAATTCAGTGAAAATGGAGCCTAACCTCCAACATATCATGAGTCCTCTTCATGTTCATTCTACACAAATCCTCACACACAATCTTCACAACCTCGGACCGCCGCCAGTTCTCGTGAATCCCATTCACAATCCCTTCAGTGATCCCAGCCTTGCCAATCTTCAGCTTCTTCCTCAGCCCAATCCCAACTGTCGTCAGCCTCCTCAACTCTCCCTTTCCCAAACTCAGCTCCGCTAATGTCGGTACCCTCTCATCTTTCTTCCCCGTCTTCTCCAATTCCTTCTGCTTCTTCACCTCTCGCCTCAGCTCATGAAACCTCGCAATAGCTCTGCCCGTGCCCGGTTCCGGGACCGGGTTCTCGGGCGTGCTCCAGCTCGAGTCGAGCGTGTGCCCGACCCGGTATTTCGGCAATCTCTGCGGTAGAGGAACAAAGATTTCTCCGGCGTGCTTTGTATCTGGTTGGGGTTGGGGTTTTTCGTTATTCTCGGTGAATCCAAGACTTCGGAGCTTTTCGGCGATGCGTTGAATGGCGGACTTGGGCGCAAGGGTTTTGGTGCCGGTGGTGGAGCTCCGGATTGCGAATTTGGAAGGTTTAGGATTTTGGGAGGGAAGGGTTTTAGGGAAGGAAAAGAAGGGAGAGAGGGATTGGTCTGTTAGAATTTTTGGCGGGAATGGAGAAGCGGGAAGGTGAGTTAGAGGAAGCAACATTTCATGGGAGCCGAAGAAGAAGATGAAGAAAGCACTGAGCTTCTGACTGTTAACGAGCCAATTGTTCTAACGACTATATCTATCCTTAATCACGTGACTCGCGCATGACCTCCTTCACCAAATACAATTGAGACCATCCGATCTGCCCCAAAAAGAAAAAAAAGGGACCATCCGATCAAATAAATAAATCAAAGAAATAAAAATTGAGACTATGATTGATTATAAAAAATATTGAGCCATGGTTAAGTAACACCCGTAAATCTAATCCAAATGAATTTTCTTCATCTTGCATAAGTCTTAAGTATGTAGTCAAAATGCTAAGACGTATTTTTTATTCATAAAACTTAAAAACGCGGGTTATGCCAATTTGTTAAGGTAATATAGCCGCTCATTTGCACCGAGTTTCAATTTCGTTTTTCGCAAATTAGAGTAGGTTAGAATCTCTTCACAACCCACCTTCTTCTCGTTGGTTACAAAATCTTAACCAGAAATAAACTTACAATCTGATTAAGGAATAAGTGAACTACGCCTTTTACAATGTACTGAAAAAAATCTCTGAGAATACATACAGGTCCATCAACCACAAATTATTTTTACAAAGAGCATGCCAATTTACAATTTCGGCTTATACCACAGAAAGAGAAAGAAAAATTACAGTCCCCTTGTACAAACAATTGTTCAATCAGATTGGACGGCACACTTACTTGTGTGACGATTTGTAGAAATTACATGGACTATATACAATTACAATTTTGTTTTCTGATTTACAATAGAGTCACATTATGCACAATTCAAATGCAGATCCAGCTCATAAACATGCAAGAGTGAGAATCACAGTTAGATGAGAAATCCCAGAATGAAGGCGTATTCTGTCCTGTAGACGACAACAGAGGCACATTTTCAGCAAGTAGAAAACCAAACAGAAACTTAAATAAGCACTTGAGACATGAAAGTAAATTTATCCATTCAGATATGATAACATGAGACTACATTTATTTTTGGGTACTTTTTTCTTTCTTTCTTTCTTCAATTCAGATATCAAACACTCACGTTCGGGTGTGAAGGTATTGATCCACTGTGAGAGGTTTTGGACCACCAAACCAATCAATCAAGAAGATGTTCTCAATGTCTAATTTGAAGAACTCGAAGTTGTGATTCTTGGGCCAATCTGTTAACCATCCAACAAAAATAAAATCACTTTAGTTGGTGAGCAAAATATGAACAGTGAAATTATGAAACAACTGCAGGTGGTATGTGAAAATCTTTGTGTAATTACCCTTCATCTCTGGATGCTTTGAGAACAAGGCATTCTTAGCAAACTCTGTTTCTTTGGAATCTTTATCAGCAAGCTTCAACTAAACAAAACCAAACGTTCCAGGTTAGTCAAAATTAACGTGATTCCTAGTTTCCCTCAGGATAGCATGGATCAAAAATAAACTTGCTGTTGCAACACACCTTTCCTGTAAGTGTAATCTTTGCACAAGTGGGGTTCTCAGGGTCTGTCTTCCCACAGGTTCCAATAGGATGTTCACTAATTGTCAACGAAGCCCTCTGGTCTTTCCGTGCATTTCTTGCAGTGGGATCCAGAGTTGTCAAGTAGAAGTATGGGATACCCCTGCCTTTTCCGGGTTCTCCATCGCTAAACGAGACCACATTCCTGCATTGTTTTTTATCATTATTTTGACCTTCATATACAAGGGCTTCAGCCAAACATGGAGCATTATTTGGAGGAAAAGGCAAAATGAATGAATCTATCAAAATTAGAATCACAGAGTGAAGAAAAGGGCAATATGGATTACAAGCGCACTCTCCTGTCAGTGATCTTTATGGAAACACTTTCCTCCAAAGGGGCAGAAATAAGAACAAAGAAACGAAACAAAATTTTCATGTCATGCCTCAAGCCAACCCAGCAAAATACTTTTCGTTTGGGGCTAATCTTGCAATTAGCGCTAGGTATTATATCTGAAGACAGCAGTTGGAACTTGAAACACAAGCAGCTAAGTAACGCAAGACTATAGATAAGAATAATAAGCAATAGAAAAACTTACCCAAAAGGTGCTCCTCCCAATTCGCTTGAGATAGTACTGCAAAAACAAAATGACAAGTGAGCTTCAATATATCACAAAAAACACATGTCAATATTTTTCAAGCAAGATTGACAAGCAATTGGGACTTGTAATAAACAATTGAACAGTTATCAGATTTCTATTAGACATTTGTATTAAGAAGAATGAAACTTGTTTAGATCATATTGATTCAATGGTGTTCTGTTAAATTTCAAGTGCAGAAAAGTTCCTTCCTTTCTTTCCTTCACATAATTTGGGTTGACTTATTGATAAATTATCCATGTTCCTATAGCACTCAATTGCAGCATCAATTCCTTCCTTCATTAACACACATAAACTAAATTGCAAGAAATTATGGCAATCACATAGCCAAATAAGATCATATTTCCGGCTAATTGGAAACCAAAACATGAAGAAGAAAAAAACACATAATATAATTGACCCAGAAGCCAGTTATTGTAGCAAAACTGAGCCCCCAATTTAACTTAAAGCATTTCTTCATACGATAATATAGACCAATAGCACAGAGAGAGAGAGAGAGAGAGATTATACTTTAAGACACCCCAGGAATTCTGAGAGACCAACCAACGAGCAGTGGCAGCAGCATTTTCCGGGTCGGGTTTCTTCAGTGAGAGTAGCCGTCCGTGTACAGGTCCTTGGATACCCAACAGGACAGAAACCAAGTAGATTGCATAAACAAAGTGAACAAGACCTTTGATCTTCATGGCTCTGTTGTGTTTTCGTCCTTGTCTTTGTGTGTAGAGGGGAAAGAAGGAGATATGTATTTATACACAAAATTTACAGGCCGATGACGGGTCCAACTACCAGCTCCAGTCGTGTGCTTTCTTGCAGCTCAACTAAAAAGGCATGAGGGGAGGTTATATCTTCTGTGAGCGGGTCTAGGATTTCTTTTTTCTTCCAACAAATCATACAACCTAAGAATAATCGATCAAAATAGTTTTTTTGGATATAACCTAAGATATGTTTAATTGCGTACACACATTTTCTTATATAAGAAAAAAAGATAGCAATATACTCCTATTCTACCATGATTTTCCACTTATGTCATAATTCCGGAGAAATAAATATGGTAGTAGATCATTTTCATTAATATTGGTTATTAACTTTTACTTATATGGTTTAACAATTTTTATTTTTTAGTTACGTGTGGTTTAAATTTTTACTTTTTCAGTCTTAAAATTCAAAGAGAATATCCGTTGTAATTTACTGTGACACTCCAATGGCGCTTGATCCATTGTGGACATCTAAAGCCAAGCAAAATTAGTGTTGATCCTAGCTAAGAAATAAATCTTGGTTTTACAAAATATAAGAAGGGAAATATGGAAATAAATCTTTTACAAAGTTAAAAGGAAAAAAAGAAGAGGAAGTTGCAGACATGACTAAAGAGTTCGCACGCACTGAACGCACTGAATTGCAGCCTCTTGGGGAGATCGACAAGGGATGGGTCCCCCAGCATGGGTTTGGGCCTACCCGTTTATCAGTTTTATTGCGGATAATGCCTCTATCTTCTCCGGCCAACGTTTATTTTATTTTTTCAATTTTGTTCTCTTTTCTTTCATATTTCATATGAATTGTCCAGGTGGAGCTTGTACAACACTCACACGTCACTAGTCACAAGGCTCGCAACGATAACTGAAAAAAAGAAGAAAAGGAAAGTTGTGCTAGCGAAAGTTGTCTGCATGTGGGATCGTTTTCAACCTTTGATAATTGTAGGATGCATCATGCATGGCAGCATGGGGTCACTATTCGTAACATTACTGAAACCAAAGATGAAAAGAAGAACAAACATTATGTAAGTTGATCGAAAGTAATGTGCCAGTCTTTTTTACTTGAGTTCGATTCTTCTCTCGATACAGTAGAATAGTTTAGAATATCGTTTTGTCAAAAAAGATAGACGAATTCAGCAAGTCCATATATAGAAGAACCCGTTTAAGAAAAAAAGGGCTCTATAAGCTGGGCTTTAATAAAAAGCAGTTGGGCTTTGATTGGGTCCAATAATGAATACAGCCTAGTAGTTGCCCACCTGAAAGGCGGGTCTGAGGTTCGCGGAAGCAGAATGCGGATTAGCAGCCAACCGAAAAGTCAGAGGTGTGCTACAATTGTCAGCGGAAATAACAACGATACAAACCCAGAATCTGACATGACGCATACCAACAAGACCGTCTCAGAAAACGAAACCCTCCATTGGAGGCCTTCAAGATCTCTTCCTCTGTAACTGAGAAGAAGAAAAGAAGAAGAAGACGAAGATCAATAATGGGGTTTCTCACTTTTGCAGCAGCAGGCGGCGGCCTTATTCTGATGGGTGCATACGAAGCCATTTCTACCTCAATCCAAATCCCAGACCAAGATTCAACTCCGTTGTCACCTCCATCTTCACAATCCTCAAATACAAGAACGCAGACGAGCATCCAATCTCGCACGTCGTCGATTTATTATCTCGCTGCCTCTGTCATCTCCTTACTTTTCGTTCTAAATTCTTTGGTTTCGTTCTTTGACGCAAACGACGCGAGTGACCGAGTCGGCTCAGCCCTCCAATTTCAAGTGATGGCAATCGCCTCGCTCTTCTTGCTCTACGCAATCACGGGTCTCCTGGTAAACTTCACAAATTCCACTATGCCTTGTTCGTTGCTCAGTTTGGTTGGTCTTTTCGCTTTCATTGAAGAATTTTTACTGTTTTACCTTCGAAAAAAAGACACTAGTGGGATTGAAAATCGGTACTTTGATATGTTGCTTGTGCCAATTGCCGTTTGTATATTCTCCACAATGCTTGAATTCAACAACCCAAAATCGAATTACCCTAAATTGGCTCGTGGGGTTGGGTTACTTCTGCAAGGAACTTGGTTTTTGCAAATGGGTATTTCTTTGTACACCAATTTGATAGCTCACGGGTGTTCTTTGCACGAAAAGAGCAGAGGGAATTACACTGTGAAGTGTAAGGGGCACCCCGAATATCACAGGGCTAGAGCCATTGTCACACTTCAGTTCAATTGCCACCTTGCTCTTCTAGTGATTTTGGTTGTGGGAGTGTACTCAATTATTGGTAAGAAAACTGGAGGCAGGGGTGATGTTTCAAGCTATAAGCCCGTTGGCGCCGAAAGGCATCAATTTGATAATCAGAGCCAGTTTACTTTGGATTCTGAAGATGATGATGTTGATGAAGAGATTAAAGAAGAGGGAAACTTGGCAATACAGAAGGCCGGTGAAGTCGAATTGGGGATGAATGGATATGGTTCTCACTAGTGAGGTATATTTTACCAATTTTGATAGGATACGGTGAATGTGAAATTCCTATTTTTGTTCCTCTCAGTTTACCACTGGTACAAGTGACTTGGGATACACTCTTCTTCTGTTTTCAGTTATGTAGATTTGATTTTAGTTCATGTGATACATTGTGTTGTTCTTCGAACTTTTTTCAGTTTTTGATAAATTTGATTTGATTACTCTGTGTTTGTAATTTGGTTCCTAACTTCAGTTTTTGTTAATTTCTTTTGGTCGACATTCGAGCACTACTTTGCTTCTTCTGTCCCAAATAGAATATATGAAAAATGGAAAGAAGAGTTGTGTGCTAGACAGGGAAGAAGATTTGTGTATTTATTGATATCTTTGGTGTTTAAGCGGGAAGATCATACAAGTTTCCCACTTCCTAATTCTGTAAGAAACTCCACTGCTTGCTTGAATGATTTTCTTTATTTGGGAGGGAGGAGACAAGCGTTTGACACTCAACATAGAAGACAACAAGCAACTTACTTTTTAAATAGCCAATGGGGTCATACCATAGTGGAAAAGTATGTTCGGCCTAAGACCAGTTGTCTCGGATTCAAAACCCCTAGGCACTAGCGTGCGTTATTGCAAACATACATATTTGGCACCAAGATGAATTTGAAGGCAATACATGCTTTGTATATATAAATCAATTGACTGTGTTTGCAGTCGTAAAACTAAAATGAACAAGGTATAAGGCACTGCCCTATATATGTGGGCTGGCTTGAATACTTTCTCCCAAATTGAAGTAATTCCCACAATAGAAACCCTTTGTGCAGGATGTCCTGTACAGAGCCTGAATAATTCCAACAACGTGCTTCTTATCAGACAAAAAATGAAAAGGCATTTTGAAATGATACCAAATAGCACTTTTTTTTTGTTCTAACAAAATATCATTTTATATTAAAATCTTCATTTCTATTCGGCTCACAGTGGTTTATAGATGTCTCTCTTTATTTCATCACTCTAATTTGGATATCTAGAGCCATTGTAAGGCCAGCAATGGCCTTGGCCCCACCCCCACCGATTTTTCTCATTGCACTGATATATATGTGCTATAGTTAAACAAGTCTGGAAAGAAAGTTGTATAATTTTGCTTATGGCCCCCTCATCTCTGCTTTGTAATTAGACTAGAAACCATTCATGTCTTGTGTATGTTGCAGTAAAGTACTTGCACTAATTACAGAAAAAAATAAGCAGTCGATTTAGTTCATTGTAATAATTGAGGCTCTCCTGTAGTTTAGACTATCGTTTGTACTAAAAAAATATTAATAATAAGAGGCTAAAAAAAAAAACGTGGTGCTTTTTATCTTATCACTAATTTAATTTTGAATATTAATATATTTATTATTCATGTGTTTTATTTTTCTGTTACTTATTATTCTTGTGTTTTATATTGTGGCCTCCTCAAACATAAAATTCTGGCTCGGCCAAAGTATGTCCACTATGATATTACCTCTATCTTTTCCAGGATACTATGTGCCTCCATTTTCCATATGGTAGTTTATTATTTCCTGTACGAAATTAACTTTGACGAGAAAATTAACACCATTTTTGTGTTTCTTCTCGAACCTCTAAGACTTGGCTTTAGTCTACAGTCCAAGTCATGTGTAATTACTAATTAGTATGGAAGACCCACCTCTATCTCACCGTTTCAGGACCGTTTATGCAAGTCTGCTCATTTATAAACCTATAAATACCACTCCACTGCATGAGGGTTTTGCACAACATACCCAAAACCAAAGCCATTTCCTTACAATGGCATCATCCAAAACCTCAACTCTTTCTCTCTCTGCAATCACTGTCCTCCTCTTCATCCTCTTCATCCTCCTCTCTCTTCTCTCCTACGCAAAAGCATCAGAAACCCACAACAACAAAACTTCATCACCATTTGAGTTCCTTGACCATCTCAAGGGGTGTCACAAGGGTGACAAAGTTCAAGGCATCCAAGACCTCAAAAAATACCTCGAAAAGTTTGGTTACTTGAATGGCAATACCAACAATGATGACTACTTTGATAATGAATTGGAGTCGGCCATCAAAACTTACCAAATCAATTACCACCTCAAGGTCACCGGAACATTAGATGAGAAAACCGTGTCAAAAATGGAGATGCCTCGATGTGGTGTACCGGATATCATCAACGGTACCACCTCCATGAGATCAGGAAAGAAAAGGGGAGGACATGGTTCAACTCACACAGTTGCTCACTTTTCTTTCTTCCAAGGAAGCCCAAAATGGCCTGCCAATAAGTATCACCTCACCTATGGTTTTCTTCAAGGCACCCCATCTGAGGCTGTGGGCGCAGTTGCACGAGCTTTTGCAACATGGCAGGGCAACACACACTTCACGTTCAGCCAAGCCCAAAGCATTGAGAGCGCTGATCTGAAGATCGGTTTTGGAAGGCGTGATCATGGAGATGGACACCCGTTTGATGGGCCGCAGGGGACCGCTGCCCATGCATTTGCTCCAACAGATGGGAGATTTCACTACGATGCTGATGAGACGTGGGTTGTGGGTGCTGTGCCTGGTGGTTTGGACTTGGAGACTGTGGCTTTGCATGAAATTGGGCACCTTCTTGGGCTTGGCCATAGCTCTGTTCCAGGAGCTGTCATGCTTCCTGAAGTCCGCACTGGATTTACCCAGAGCTTGCATGCGGATGATATTCAAGGAATTAAAGCTTTATACAACACTTGATTAATGTTGTTATTATTATAAGTTTAGAAGTTCATCCAAAGTCATGCTTTCGTGTTTTTTTTATCCCCGTATCAAATAAAGGTACAACACCTGGGTGTACGTACTTAGATTTAAGCTGGATATTTAGTATTGAAGCTCATGATGTTCTCCTGTTTGTAGTTTTTTTTTAATATTAATTTCATCAGTTTAATAAAGTATAAAGTTCATTTCATGTCTGAAGTTTCTTTCTGTTAAGAAAATTTGGCTAACAAAATGACAAGTAATTATACAAAGATTCTTTCTAAAACAAAGACATCACCATAACTGTCCAATTAAATTGATGTCTGCGCTTATATTCAATGTGTCATTCTCAGGGCTGTTACTTACTGGGGTCATCAATTTAGGACTAGTTTTGCTTTCTTCCCAAGCTCTGGAGTTTGTCCTGGCTCTCCCTTCTTGTCCAAATATCATAGAATAGAAGGAAAAACGGATCGAAGAAGAAGAGTTGCGCTAGGCAGGGAAGAAGATACCTAGCGTAGATATGGGAAGGGAAATTTGTGGATCACGATTTCTCATCACCTCCAGATGAGAGTTCAAATCAAGCTGAGTTGGAATAAGCGGCTTCGCACCAAATAGAACCAAACCACCAAGGGATATTTGCACACGGTTGATATTGAAGGCATGCATATGCTTCGTCATCTATGTAACGTGAGCAAACTTGCATGATGATGATGGTAAAGTAAAAAAACAATTTAGTTGTAAAACAAAAGTAAACAAGATATAAGGACCTGTTAAGTATTCAACTTGAATCCAACTTTTTAAATTCAAAAACAGAATTTGAGTCTAAAACAAAAACAAAAAAATCTGTTTGGTAGCCCTAGTTTTAAAAACTCAAACTCAAGAACAACTAAAAAACAACCCAATTATTAAAAACAAAAAAAATCCATTTTTTCAGTTATTTTCAAACAACCCACAAGTTCTCAATTTTTTAAGATTTGAAAGTTTTCAAGTTTCATACCAAACAAGTGTTTTTTAAGAACTCCTTGTTTTAAAGAAAAATCTAAGTTTTTGAGTTCCCTATTTGAATAGGATACCAAATACCCCCTAAAGGCTCGTTTGGTATTCTACTTGGATTCAATTTTATAAACTCAAAAACATATTTTAAGTCCAAAGTCACAAAAACCCGTTTAGTATGCCTATTTTTAAAACAAAAAAAGTGAGATTTTTATCCAAAACTTGGTTATAGTAAAAAGCGTGGAGAAAGATGGTTTATTGGTGAAGAAAAGTGAAGGGTGAAAAAGATAAGCATGAGTGGGTTTTTGGAGGAGACGGTTTTGCTTGGCATTTTTTCTTATTTTTCAAGAAAAAAGGGGCAGAGAAAGTTCTAGCCAAGAAAAAAACACAGAAGAATGACAAGTCCACCGGAGAAGCTGAAGTTGATGTCCTTATTGTACACTGAAGAGAGGAAAGTTAGGAAACTAAAACTCTCTTCCTACTAAAAAAAAAAATGATCTTTTGAGAGATCTTTTCCGTTCCCACTACACCAAGTCTTTTTTTTAATAGAGAACTCCATCCAACTCTTTACAAAACATCTTAGCTAAATAAATTTAAAAAGTATTTATAAAACATTATATTCATATCTTTTTTTTATGTCCCCACCAGTCTTTTTTTATATATTATTTATAAATATATATAGAGAATTTCAAGTCTTCATAAAAAATTAATCATCGATCAAGTCTTGTGGCTTTAAAAATTGCACCTTCATTAAAAAATTCATGCTTCCTCTAGTGATTATAAAGAAGCATATTGGATGTGTGTTTGCATTTGTAGTTACTTTACTTCGTTGACTTTGACTTGGAATGTGCTTAGATTAAATTAGGACTTGTTTCATGGGTTGATCAGGTAGACGATCAATAAATAATTAATTTCTTCTGTTTTTGTGTTTTGGGTGAAAAAATAATTAGTCTCTTTATTTTTGTGTTCTTGCCATTATTCTTCTCACTCTTTTTTTATTTTTTCTTCCCCTTCCCGGCCGGCGTCTGGAACCTCAAGACCAAGCTAGCTACAGTCAAAGTCATGGCGTACCATACATGGAAGATGACCAGGCCGTTTAAAAAACAATTCGAAAATTTGAGTGTTATTATATCAACGTAACGCCTACGTTAATCTATATGTACACAGCTATAAATAACACTCCAAATGTGAAGCTTGAATTGCAACACAGATTCAAAATCTACTTCCTTTCTAGCTATACGACTAGCATCAATCAATGGCATCAAAATCCTATCTTTCTCTCCTCCTCATCCTCCTTTCTCTCCTCTCATCCCATGCAACCTCATCAGAAACCCACAACCAAAAAACAACATCACCATTCGAGTTCCTTGAGCATCTCAAGGGATGCCACAAGGGTGACAAGGTTCAAGGCATCCAAGACCTCAAAAAATACCTCGGAAAATTTGGTTACTTAAGCAGCAACAATAATGGTCACTTCAACGATGATGATTTTGACGACCAACTGGAGTCAGCCATCAAAACATACCAACTCAATTACCACCTCAAAGCCACTGGAACATTGGATGCTGAAACTGTATCCAATATGATGATGCCACGTTGCGGTGTCGCAGATATCATCAATGGTACCTCCTCCATGCGATCAGGCAAACAAAGACACCCTCACCACCATCACCACGGAGGACACACAGTTGCTCATTATACTTTCTTCAGAGGAAACCCAAAATGGCCGGCCTCTAAGTATCACCTCACCTATGCCTTTCTTCAAGGCACCCCAGCTGAGGCCACGGGACCAGTTGCACGTGCTTTTCAGACATGGGCCGCCAACACACACTTCACTTTCAGCCAGAGCAATCAGAACCCCGATCTGACGGTGAGTTTTCACAGGGGTAATCATGGAGACGGAGCTCCCTTTGACGGGCCAGGAGGGACCATAGCCCATGCATTTGCGCCAACAAACGGGAGATTTCACTACGACGCTGATGAGCGGTTTTCTGTGGGCGCCGTGAGTGGTGCTTATGACTTGGAGACTGTGGCTTTGCATGAAATAGGGCACCTTCTTGGGCTTGGGCACAGCTCTGTTCTGGGAGCTATTATGTACCCGACTATACCCCCTGGAGTGACCAAAGGTTTGCATGGGGATGATATTCAAGGAATTAAAGCTTTATACACCGCTTGATCATCGGTTGATCATCTCGTCTTAAAGCTCACTTCGTTTTTAAGTTCACCCAAACCCAAAGTCATGAACCTTTCATTATTCCCTTTTGCTTTTCTTTTTTCCAAATAAAGTACCTCACTTACAAGTGTACTAAAAGTTGTATCTGAAATTTCTTAAATACAAGTTTGAATGATTTATTATTTTATGAATTTCTTTGGAATACAAGTTTTTCTCCATTGCAATCATAGAACATATCATTACTTTTAAAGCAGTGGCGATTGTCTTATAAACCATCCTCTCTCTCTAGGGGTCAACTCAATCTGGAAAAGTAATATGAAACTTTTCTCTCTTAGGGTTCTATAAGGAATCTGAATTCAAAATTTGAGGTTCAAATAACTTAATCTAAGTTTAAGTATATTGATAATTTATACTTTGCTCAAGCTTATTGGGAGTATTTGTCTACCAAGATGGACAATTGATACAAGAAACTGAATAATAGAATTATTCACAGGTACATGTGAAAGAATTCTTTAGTCTTTGACCTTAAATGGAATTAACCACTAAAGCACTATAAAGAGATATCACTATAGTATCGCCAAAGTAAATTGATGTCTAGTCTTTTACTAGACGTGTCAAGTACTGTCGTTAGTTTATAAAATATTTTTGATAAAAAGACAATATAATTTTATTATATCGATAGAAAAAAGTACAAGGGACACATACTATTAAGGGAGCCATCTAAATAGCAACATGGCCCAATGATATAAACCAGCCAAAAGGCTGAGACGATTTGGAGAGAATCACTCTTGAAAATTTTGTTTGTCCTTCTTTCTGGCCATCTTTTCAAACCTCCAAACCTAGCAATAGTTAAAGTCATGATATTACACTAAGGCCCAGTTTGGCATTGCTGTGCTATGAAAATATTCACAGTCAGATTTGTTGTGAGAGAAATCAGCTGTGAAAGAAAGCAGTTTGGCGTTTGGTAATCTTTTTGTTAAAAGTGTTGTTGGTACTAATTCCAGTATAATCATAAAATGATTGCCGCATAATCATTAAACTCAGCGCATCTTTGAAACTGATTCCTGTATAATCAGAAAATGAAAGGACCTCATTAGCTGCTTTCCCTTATAGCTCTCTCACAACAATTGTTAATAATAAATGATTTTCTCATAGTTTACCAAACGGGCTAGGCTTCCCAATTTTTTTTTAAAATCACTTATTATCCCAAATAAGCAATGTCAAACGAGCACTAGGAAGAACCTATGCAAAACCAATATGGAAATGGAAATTGGGATGTTTATGTCACTGTATCCCCACCGTTGGAGAAAAACTTATATATCACGGGAATAATACTATTTTGCTATTTCAACTAATCATGTTCCGTCACGCGTGACAACTTTTTCACATTGCGGAACATGATTGTATGGGGATAGCAAAACAATACTATCCATGTGACATGCAAAACAATATATATTTATTATTATTATTATTATTATTATTATTACATTACAAACCTATAAATAAAAAAAATAAAAAAACCACGAAAAATATTATGCTTTTGCAACATATCCAAAACCTGGTTATTACTTGCTAGATAAATATCATGTTTTCTATAAGATTGACTATTAATGTAACTAAATCCTGTCCACATTTTTAGCCACTTTAGATCTGTATAGCATAATCGCATCAAATCTATTCTCCCTTCGCAATCACTCTCTTCTCTTCTCCCATGCAACGTCATAAAAAAAAATAATAATAATAATAAAAAATTGTCAATTTATGAATATTAATTTTTGATGTTACGAAAATTTTAATTGAAGGACCTTTACTAGTACATTTCCACTAAATTGGTCCATTTTATTCCGAAATAGAGAGGGGTTTACAACTTACAAGGAGCCAAAATGGCCTGCCAATAAGTATCACCTCATCTATGGTTTTGCTCAAGGCACCCCGGCTAATGCCGTGGGCGCAGTTACACGTGCTTTCGAAACATGGGCAGGCAACACACGCTTCTCTTTCAGTCGGGCTAAAAGCGTTGACAGCGCTGATCTGAAGATCAGTTTTGGAAGTGGTGAACATGGAGATGGACGACCGTTTCATGGGCCAGGTGGGGTCCTAGCCCATGCTTATGCGCCAGCAAATGGGAGATTTCACTACGATGCTGATGAGACGTGGGTTGTGGGTGCTGTGCCCGGGGGAATGGATTTGGAGACTGTGGCTTTGCATGAAATCGGTCATCTTCTAGGGCTTGAGCATAGCTCTGTTGAAGGAGCTGTCATGTTACCTGGAATCCGCGCTGGATTTACCCAGAGTTTGCATGCGGATGATATTCAAGGAATTAAAGCTTTATACAACACTTGATTTTATCATCTTGATTTCATCAGTATAATAAATTATAAGTTCTTTGTTTTTTAATGAAGAAATTATAAGTTCATTTCATGTCTCAAGTTTCTTTCGTACGTATAAATTAGTGTATTATTGTATTTTAATTAGAGGGCAAATACTTATAAGAGGCTATATACTTTCAAGTCATAAATACGAAAAAGTGAAATTTCGATTTAGCTATTCATCCATTTCATCATATGTAATCTCCGACAAGACCAAGAAAATCCTCTTTGCAAATCCAATTGCACCTATTCATGACTCAATTGGACGAAATCATTTAAATTTTCAGACATTGGAAATATGAATTAGGGCAACGTCTATGGTACACCACACCATTTGTTTTTAATGAAACATGTGCGTTGCACATTTTTTTTTTTTTTTTTTTTAATGACTACTAGACAAGTTAAGATGTTGGGAGATTTTAACGTTAACATGATTATCTTTTCCTTGCTCTTCAGAAAGTCATTGTATTGCACTTATATTATTAAAGAAAACAATCATTAAATAGTTTTGTGATGCATGAACAATATAAATCCATTCCACATAATTCATTGAAATAATTTTATAAGTTTACATATTAGCCTTTCAATGAGTTTACTCATAGGAAAAATTGTTCACATGTGATATACGTTTGTGTGTCTTCCATGATGTTTTTGTAGTAATAGCAAGGGTCTCTGAGTTGAAAACTGTAGGTCACGTTTTGGAGCAGATGCCAAAGCTTCGTAATTACTAAATTGTTTAGCAATGCAATTGCATTTCTGTATGCAATTAGTGACTCCGTGTTTGGCAATAGTATTTTTTTTTTTCCTATTACAAACCTTCAAAATATGGGAAGTTAAGTAGGAAGACTAATGTTGGAGACGGCCAAATGCCTCACACTTTTCCACCACAAAGATCTAGAGATTTCCAAACCTTGAGAGTTGATGCAGTAAGAAAATTGGCCTATTCAAATCCCAATAATTCTTTGTTAATCAAGAAAGAAGCAAAGAAATACTTTTAATAAAAGGAAAAAAAAATCTCCTCTATGAAACTCAACACAACCCTTTCAATCATTGTTTAATCTTTACCAATGTAGGAGACAGTTTCACATTCTTCTTTAGTTTGGCGTACTCATCTAAGAGCCACCACCACGTGAAAATGATGACCACGACGAGTTCAGTGATCACCTAAATTCCACCAACCCAGCTCTGATGACGAAAGAAGTTTTGACGAAGTCCTAGATCATGAATAAGAGCCACCACCACATGAACTATGTACTTGCTCTCTCAATAGAGCTAGTGTAATGACAATGCCAACAAAACAAGTTCTAATGGAGAAGAAGAGGAGCATGGTTGGTCCTGAGATTTTTAAGGCTCGAGGCAACACTGAAAATAGACCCTATATATATGTATACCACACAAGAAAAACTTATGTGGATGTAGAATATTATAAAATGAGATCTACATTATATCATTTATTTTATATATCTCTCTCTATATAAGAAAGGATCGAAGACAGAAAAGAAAATGAGAGATGTATATGTACATAATATTATAAAATGAGATGTATCTATGTGGTTATATATATATATATACATAATATTATAAAATGAGAGATGTATATAAAAGCATTGGAGTACTAAAAAGAACCTGCTTATTTTATATACATCTCTCTATAAGAAACGATGGAAGACCCGAAAAAAGAAGCATTGAAATACTAAAAAGAATGAAGACCAAAAAAAAAAAAAAAAAAAAAAAAAAAAAAAAAAAAAACTGAAAAAAACAAAATCGGAACTTGGGAAGGAACTTGGAAGGACTTAAAAAAACAGGCCTAACCAACACCACTGGCTAATCAAAATGAAGAGGTACGGAGACGCTGTGCGCCGTGGCTGCCTACATAGGGTCCGTCTTTGTCGGAATGGCCCAACCATATCCCATCTTTTATTTGCTGATGATTCACTATTTTTCATCCATGCTACAACCCAGAACTGCAATGTCTTGAAAAAGATTGTCGGTGACTATTGTTTGGCTTCAGGCCAAATGCTCAATGTGGATAAATCATCCTTATCTTTAAGCCCAAATGTCTTTGATACGCTATCTGGGGAAATCAGTACTACGCTCGGAGTATCCCCAACACTTGATCCTGGCACGTATCTGGGTCTGCCATCTATATGGGGGAGATCTAAAACTGCAGCTCTGAACTACATTGTTGATCGTATCCAGAAAAAAGTCCGGGGATGGAAGTCAAAATTCTTGAACCTTGCTGGAAATGAGGTTTTGATTAAGGCAGTGGCCTTGTCTGTGCCAACGTACCCAATGTCCCGCTTTAAATTCCCTTTGAACACTTGCAAACAAACTAATGGTGTTCTTAGCAAGTTTTGGTGGAGCAATGGTGATTCCAACGCTCACATTCACTGGAAGAGGTGGGAGGTGTTATGCCTTTCAAAGGCTGAGGGTGGCTTGGGTTTCAGAGAATTAGAGAACTTCAATTTGTCCCTCCTGGCAAAACAGTGTTGGTGTATATGGAATAATCCTAATTCCTTTTGGGTGCATCATGCGTGTCCTAAAAGCCAAGTATTTCCCAGATGGTGATTTCCTTAAAGCTAGAAGGGGACCTTGCCCTTCTTGGGCATGGGCTAGCCTTCTGGAAGGTCGAAAGATTATGTCTGATGGGGCCATTTCGCAAATTGGCAATGGTATGAAAGTGAAGATCTGGAGCGATAACTGGCTGCATCACAAAACCACCCTGCGTCCCAAGCCAACCATCACTGTTTCCGGTCTTATTCCAACGTTGGTTAATAATCTCATTGATCGTGATTTGAGAGAATGGAATTTGGCGAGAATTTCAAATGTCATTGATCCTGCTGTTACAAACCTAATTCGTGCCATTCCTCTACGCAATCTCACTCGCGAAGATACTCTGATTTGGCCTTGGAATAATGATGGCTTGTTTTCTGTTCGGAGTGGTTACCATTGGGCAATGGAAAATTTGGAGGCTGTGTGTAGTGTGCCGGAACACCACTCCCACCAAGTGGAAAAAAAAATTATGGAAGTCAATCTGGAACATGAAAGTCATTCCAAAAATTAAACTCTTTTTTTGGAGGGCTCTGACCAATTCCCTGCCCGCCCTAAGAAACTTGTTTCATCGCAGAATAAGGGCTAATCCAGTTTGCTCTTTTTGTAACTCTAGTGATGAGTCAGCCGAACATGCTATTCTCCTGTGTCCTTGGACTGCTTGTGTTTGGTTTGGTATCCCTTTAAACTACTGCGTGAATGCACAAAGCGTAACTTCTTTTGACAGATGGCTCCAGGGAGTTACTGCCTCCTTGGCTCTTTTTGAAGGGAGGAATAAGGAAGTTCTTGTCTTGGTGGGTATTACTTGTTGGGAAATCTGGAAAGAGAGGTGCTCTGCTCTTTTTGAAGGTCGCTCCCTCTGTCCTTATTCTGTTATTAGGAGAGTTCTTTCTTTATGGGGAAAAATGTGTCCTACTTTGGAAGCTATTACGTGTCCTACTCCCTCAGCTTCTCCTCCCCATGCTCTCTGGAAGGCTCCTCCTCAACCTTATGTTAAGGTAAACGTGGATGGAGCATGGCACAAGAACTCTATGCAGGGCGGTGTGGGTTGCTGTCTTCGTGATTCTGAAGGTAGAATGTTGGTAGGTTTGAGTAAGGCTTGTCTCAAAAACTCTGCAGTCGAGGTGGAAGCCGAAGCTGTTTTGGAGGGGTTACTGTTAGCAAAAGAGGAAAACTGTCAGAAGATTATACTTGAAAGCGATTCAATGGAAGTTATCTCTTGTATGAGAAACGAAAATCTGCGTGGCAACTGGAGAATTATCCCCCTCATTTTGGAAATCATAAGGCTTTCTTCGTGGTTCATCTCCATTAAGTGGGAATGGATTTCTCGCCAAGCAAATCAAGCTGCCCATGCTGCAGCAGCTCTGTCAAATATGAGGGTGCGAACTATACGTTGGGCCTCACAGCCTCCTCCCTCATTGGTTCTGGTTTTGGCTAAGGATGGGTTGCCATGCCCCCTAGCAATTAATTTTCTGTTATAAGGTAGTTTACTTGTTGTATTTCCATTTCACTTTTCTGGGAGGTATCGATGGCCTCCTTGTGATTTACTTGTATTGCTCTGGGGATCTCCCCTGTTTTCTGTTAGTTGTGGCCTTTGCCTTTTCGGGCTTTTCAATGAAATATTTTACCAAAAAAAAAAAAAAAAAAAAAAAAAAAAAAAAAAAATACCACCACCACTTTACTTTAATTATCAGCATGTCTTTTCTTTCATTTATAGGCCCTGGCTCAGGGCCCGGCCTGAAGAGGAGTCAAGATAGGGTTTTAATGGAGAAGAATCACTGCAAAGAGCATATTCACATTATGATTTATACATTTTCTGATTCTAGTGTGGTTTTTATTTATTTACCAAATGTATTTTAATTTTAACCTACAATAACAGGTTTTGAGGTTACCTCAAATTGAAAAAGGTAGATTTCTCTCTCTCTCTCTCTCTCTCTCTCTCTCTCTCTCTCTCTCTCTCTCTCAATAGTCTATATCCTTTGGTGTAGAATTTTCCATGAATTAGTTTAAAATCGTTTAATTGATGAAGTTTATTATGTGTCATTCTTAAACTTCAGTTATAGGCAAATTGGCTTAATTAATGCAAGTATATATCGTTTTCGACAAACTAACAAAACCAACAAATATTGACACATGTGGAATGGTTCTTCAATCTTTCATTTTAATACTAAGAGTGGCTGTTAAGAATCCAAACAGAGACAGCATATACTTAACCTCTTCAACAATTTTGTTTGGTCGAAGACCTCTTTGTTTGAGAATGCTAAAATACGTGAGCTACATTAACAAAATCTCTCCAACAGATTTGTCAAATTCAGTTATCCTAGGTGCAGGGGTTGGCACAATACGAGATTACAAGGGATGGAGGTCAATCCCAGATAGGGAATCGGGATGGGATAGCACGGGATGAGAGTTTTTGAAAACACGTTCAAACCATATTGGACCCAAATAGGATCGGTATAATTCGGTATCAATATTGATACCGTAAAAAAATCATGCAAAATTTCAGAAATCAAGCATTAATATAACAAAATAAACAATCAAGAGTCTTGGTTCAAAACCAACCAAGAAATGGAAATCTCATACAAAATTCTAAAAACTTACACTTTTTCTTTTCATATCATAAATACATGGACATTTTTTTCCACATGTTTTCGAAGAAACCCACAGTATTGAAAGTGCTAAAAAACAAACACTATATGAATTGAATTGAAGAGTATGGTGATGCACAAATAATTAAAGTAGCAAATAATCCTTTTTTTTTAGTTGGAACAAACAAGCGTTTTCAACTAACTTGCCACATAGGTCAAGAAACTCCAATTTAAAGAGTTTAATTTGCTACTCATTGGAGAAAAATGAATTATTCGAATTTTGAAATTTTGCATGGACCCATATATTATACTTGACCGAAGGAAGGAGTTGGCCAAAAAGACTTCATAGGGGTCTCCCTTAGAATGACTGTTGTTTAAGACTCAAAACGAGTCTTCAAAGCGTAGATCTTTCCGAGCTAAGAATAGTCAGTCTTTCGTGTTGTTCACGAAATAGGATCCACCAAAGGGACATTTGCACAGTTGATATTCAAGGCAAACTTGCACAGTTGGAATCAGTTGCCATCCATGAATTAACGTCTATGTAACAGTCAGTAAACTTGTATTACATAAACTAGCATTACTTATACCAAAACTGCAAATATTTCCCGAATAAAAAAGCACCAAAAAAGAAGAAGCCAAATTGAAGTCGTTCCCCAGTAGCATGAATTAATGTCTTTATTAGGCAAAAAATAAATAGAAAAGATATCCAAATAAATACCACTTTTTTTTTTTATTAAAAAAAAATGCTAACAATATATTTCTTGTATATTTTGACAACCCAACAGGCGAGATGGCTATCTATGTACTTTTTCAATTGATCTAAATAAAAGTATTTCTCTACTATGAACACTAACTTTGACCAGAACATTAAATTGTCTCCTGCATTGAGGTCAGTGGATCAATATGTAGCTTCGACATCTCTGGCGCGCTAGTCACTCCCATGAATCCGAACAAAGAACTAGTCTCATCAAAATTGTCTTCTCTGTTTTCTTCTTCCACCCGGCGATTGTCATGTCTCTTACCACAAGACTTAGAGTACATTTTACTAAGGAAAGCCCAGCTCTCAATATGAAGGTGGAAATTAGAGTTGCACCGTCTCACGACCGTTGATGTAAGTCTGCTCATTATACACCTATATATAGCCTTCCAAGTATGAGGGTTTTGCACAGCATATCCAAAAGCAAAATTATTTATTTCCCAAATATACAATGGCATCATCAAAAACTTTGACTCTTTCTCTATTCGCATGCAATCACTACTTTTCTCTTCATCCTCCTTTCTCTCCTCTCCAACTCAAAAGCATCAGAAACCCACCACAATAAAACATCATCACCATTTGAGTTCCTTGACCATCTCAAGGGGTGTCACAAGGGTGACAAAGTTCAAGGCATCCAAGACCTCAAAAAATACCTCGAAAAGTTTGGTTACTTGAATGGCAATACCAACAATGATGATTACTTTGATGATGAATTGGAGTCGGCCATCAAAACATCAATTACCACCTCAAGGTGACCGGAACATTAGAAGCGAAAACCGTAAAATAAATGGAGATGCCTCGATGTGGTGTACCGGATATCATCAATGGTACCACCTCCATGAGATCAGGAAAGAAAAGGGGAGGACATGGTTCAACTCACACAGTTGCTCACTTTTCTTTCTTCCAAGGAAGCCCAAAATGGCCTGCCAATAAGTATCACCTCACCTATGGTTTTCTTCAAGGCACCCCATCTGAGGCTGTGGGCGCAATTGCACGAGCTTTTTCAACATGGCAGGGCAACACACACTTCACGTTCAGCCAAGCCCAAAGCATTGAGAGCGCTGATCTGAAGATCGGTTTTGGAAGGCGTGATCATGGAGATGGACACCCGTTTGAGGGGCCACAGGGGACCGCTGCCCATGCATTTGCTCCAACAGATGGGAGATTTCACTACAATGCTGATGAGACGTGGGTTGTGGGTGCTGTGCCTGGTGGTTTGGACTTGGAGACTGTTGCTTTGCATGAAATTGGGCACCCTCTTGGGCTTGGCCATAGCTCTGTTCCAGGAGCTGTCGTGCTTCCTGAAGTCCGCACTGGATTTACCCAGAGCTTGCATGCGGATGATATTCAAGGAATTAAAGCTTTATACAACACTTGATTAATGTTGTTATTATTATAAGTTTAGAAGTTCATCCAAAGTCATGCTTTCTTGTTTTTTTTATCCCCGTATCAAATAAAGGTACAACACCTGGGTGTACGTACTTAGATTTTAAGCTGGATATTTAGTATTGAAGCTCATGATGTTCTCCTGTTTGTAGTTTTTTATATATTAATTTCATCAGTTTAATAAAGTATAAAGTTCATTTCATGTCTGAAGTTTCTTTCTGTACAAAGATTCCTTCTAAAACAAAGACATCACCATAACTGTCCAATTAAATTGATGTCTGCGCTTATATTCAATGTGTCATTCTCAGGGCTATTACTTATTGGGGTCATCAATTTAGGACTAGTTTTGCTTTCTTCCTAAGCTCTGGAGTTTGTCCTTGCTCTCCCTTCTTGTCCAAATATCATAGAATAGAAGGAAAAACGGATCGAAGAAGAAGAGTTGCGCTAGGCAGGGAAGAAGATACCTAGCGTAGATAAGGGAAGGGAAATTTGTGGATCACGATTTCTCATCACCTCCAGATGAGAGTTCAAATCAAGCTGAGTTGGAATAAGCGGCTGCGCACCAAATAGAACCAAACCACCAAGGGATATTTGCACACGGTTGATACTGAAGGCATGCATATGCTTCGTCATCTATGTAACGTCAGCAAACTTGCATGATGATGATGGTAAAGTAAAAAAACAATTTAGTTGTAAAACAAAAGTAAACAAGATATAAGGACCTGTTAGGTATTCAACTTGAATCCAACTTTTTAAATTCAAAAACAGAATTTGAGTCTAAAATAAACAAAAAAAATCTGTTTGGTAGCCTTAGTTTTAAAAACTCAAATTCAAGAACAACTAAAAAACACCCTAATTATTAAAAACAAAAAAAATCCATTTTTTCAGTCTTTTTCAAACAACCCTCAAGTTCTCAATTTTTTAAGATTTGAAAGTTTTCAAGTTTCATACCAAACAAGTTTTTTTAAGAACTCCTTGTTTTAAAGAAAAATCAAAGTTTTTGAGTTCTCTATTTGAATAGGATACCAAACACCCCCTAAAGGCTCGTTTGGTATCCTACTTGGATCTAATTTTATAAACTCAAAAACAGATTTTAAGTCCAAAGTCACAAAAACCCGTTTAGTATGCCTATTTTTAAAACAAAAAAAAGTGAGATTTTTATCTGAAACCTGGTTATAGTACTAAAAACAAAAAAAAAAAAAAAAAAAAAAAAAAAAAATAGTAGTGTGCCAAAGAGAAAGATGGTTTATTGGTGAAGAAAAGTGAAGGTTGAAAAAGATAAGTGTGAGTGGGTTTTTGGAGGAGTGGGTTTTTGGAGGAGAGGGTTTTGCTTGGCATTTTTTCTTATTTTTGAAGAAAAAAGGGGCATAGAAAGTTCTGGCCAAGAAAGAAACACAGAAGAATGACAAGTCCACCGGAGAAGATGAAGTTGATGTCCTTATTGTACACTGAAGAGAGGAAAGTTAGGAAACTAAAACTCTCTTCCTACTAAAAAAAAGATCTTTTGAGAGTTCTTTTCCGTTCCCACCACACCAAGTCTTTTTATGTTTTTTAAGAGAACTCCATCCAACTCTTTACAAAACATCTTAGCTAAATAAATTTAAAAAGTATTTATATAAAACATTATATTCATATCTTTTTTTTATGTCCCCACCAATCTTTTTTATTTATTTATAGAGAATTTAAAGTCTTTATAAAAAATTAATCATTGATCAAGTCTTGTGACTTTAAAAATTGCACCTTCATTAAAAAAATTCCTAGGTCCTCCAGTGATTATAAAGAAGCTTGTTTGATGTGTATCTTATTTGAAATATGAGATTATAATTTTTTTTAATGAATATCCGAAAATTTTATATGGAATAAGACACGTGGCAACCGAGATTCTAATCCGAAAATCTTTTCTGAAAAATAATAGATACGTGAAAACTAAAAATCTTATTCAAAAATTTAATTACAAAAGATTATCAAAATTAATGGTTTAAAATATAAAAAAATAGGAAATAAAGTACAATGAATAGTATTTTCCTTAGACTTAGCCCTCATGGGTGGAACCACAAATGGCAAGGCTGACACTATTCACGTGAATAGTGGCAGCCCTTACTTGCCCTTGCCTTAGACTTAGCCCTTATTGGTGGAGATGTTCTTATTAAAAAAAATGCTAACAATATATTTCTTGTATATTTTGGCAACCCAACAGGCGAAATGGCTCTTTATGTACTTTTTCAATTGATCTAATAAAATTATTTCTCTACTGTATGAACACTAACTTTGACCAAAACATTAAATTGTCTCCTGCATTGAGGTCAGTGGATCAATATGTAGCTTCGACATCTCTGGCGCGCTAGTCACTCCTATGAATCCGAACTAAGAACGTCTCATCAAAATTCACTACAAAAAAAGAAAGCATTAGTCACATTTTTATAGCAACAAAATAGTTTTGGTGACATTTGAATGGGTGGTCAATGACTTTGGTTACTAGTCACCATTATTTGTGACTAATTATCTCACACTTTAAAGAATTAGTGAGTATTGATTTAAATATAATAAATGTAAACCAACTGACACATGCATAGTAATTTGTTGAATATAATATTTGAGGATAATATTCCTTGAGAGTAGTAATCCAATTAAATATGTATAGAACACAGTAAAAAGGAAATACGTATAAAAATAATAATTAAATATTACAATGGTTAACCATTAAAGTAACCCATTTTCTTTATAGTGTGAGATAATTACTTGCTCCGATTGAATTTTTGAAGGGCTTGCTTTTGACAACCCAAAACAACCCATCCACCCCTTTTCTTTTTGTAAGCTCTTCTCTCTCAAAACAACCCAGCAACCCCTTTTTTCTTTTTACATCCGGTGGTTTTCACCCCGATCCCTCCATTTTTTTGGCTATCTCCTTGCTTTTGACAGAGTTTGTTATCTCCTTAGTTTTTCTAGCGCGTTTCTTTGGCTCTGGGAGGTTCTTTTAGAAAAAATCTCAAATCTGAGATGTTATATCTCATATCTGAGAGCTAGAGTAGGGCTTGCTTCAGTCATGGCTTTCCTTGTTTTTTGTTTTCTTGCTTTTTTTTTTTTTGTTTTTTTTTTTTTTTTTTTTTTATATTTTTTTATATATTATATATATTGATATTCTGTGATGTAGGAAGATCAAGTTCTGCAGGGGCGGTGGAATTGCTAGAGGCGCCTCTATTCCCAGGTCCTTTTAAATTTATTCTATTTTATTAATATACCCTTTGTAATTCACCTTTTTCTATTTCTGAGTTCTAAAGATGTTGTTTTATCTGGGTTTCTCTTCCCTTGAAGATTGGTGGGTTGGGGTTATTCATTTAGATGAGTACAAGATTTCTATTTTCTTAGATTTTATTTTATTTTGATTTGCCCTTTTCTCTTTCTTTCCCTATTTGAACTATGCCCATGTTCTACCTCTAACTTCTTCTTGAACTATGATATGTGAACTACTATTAGTTCACTACAAATAATGATCAGATCCCTTCACCATAGACAAATGAACGGTTGATGCTACCAACTACAAAAGAAGAGGGTGAGGTTGTAATTCCTTAAGCTTGGATATCTACTAACTTCTAGTATTTGGGACTCTTTCTTTCTTTCTTTGTCATTTCGATTTACTTACAGGGATGGTGGACACTTCAATTGCAGGGATGGAGGACACTTCAGTTGCATCATTCGTTTGTATGGTCAAATCGGAGGAGTGCTTGGATTAGAGAGTACTAGCTATAGGTCTTCTTAGGCGTGTATGTATTATTTGTATAGGACTGTACAAATTTTTTATTCATTAGGAAAATATTGTACTACTTAATTACCATTATGTATCAATTGAATTTTTATACTTAATTAAATAAAAATATTAGAGCCCTCTTTTACAAATGAAGTGCATTACCAAGGAATTATTATTATTATCTTATCAGGAAAAAGAAAAAAAAGACGAATTACTGTTATTATGTCATTAAAGTATATCAAAAGGAAATTATAATTATTTAAAACATATATAATTCAGAAAATTATTAAACTAATTAAAGATGAAAATAATAATAAAATATAAGTGTAAAGGTATCTGAAAAGTCAACATATTGTTTGTCACTTTCTTTATTAATGGTGACAAAGACCAATAGTAACCCTCACAAATCTCACACACTCAAAATCGTGACTGTATGGTGACTAAAGCTTTTAGTCACCAATAAAGGTGACTAATGCTTTCAAAAGCCACCCAAAAAAAACGTGACTATTGGTGAATTATTTTGTAGTGATTGTCCTCTATTTTCTTCTTGCACCCGGCGATTGTCATGTCTCCAACCGCAAGACTTAGAATACATTTACTATGGAAGGCCCAGCTCTCAATATGAAGGTGGAAATTAGAGTTGCATCGTCTCACGACCGTTGATGTAAGTCTGCTCATTATACATGTGGCTGAGTTAGGATTGTATGTGTGGAGGGGCCGAACCGTAATACAAGTATAAAAAAAAAAAAAAAAAAAAAAAAAAATTACATCACATCAATAATATATATATAATAAAAAATGGACATTTTTTAGAACTTTGTACTTAATTTCATGTATCAAAACGGAAAAGTCTACTGATAAAATCTCATTTTCCTTTAAACTATTTATTTTCTATTCCCTTTTCTTTTTGTCAAACTATTTTCTATTCCCTTGGCTCATCGGTTTGATTATCAGAGGATTAATACTTCCTTTTTTTATGTCAGTTGTGTAATGGGCCTACAAACAATTTACATATAATTATAAATGAAGTTATTTATATGGATTTGAATTGGGTGGGTGGGGATTAGAAGGGTTATATGGTTTGCATTGTTAAATATATGAACTAAAACCCAAGCTTTACTGCGTTGAGAACAAATTGTGGAGGGGCCAGGGCCACCTCAGCCCTAGAGTACCTCCGCCCCACCTATATATAGCCTTCCAAGTATGTGGGTTTTGCACAGCATATCCAAAACCAAAATTATTTATTT